CCTACCACTTAGATGAAAAACAGCCATTCTCATGACTTGGAATAATAATTTTTCCAGCAACAGCATCATTTATGGATTCAAAAGGTCTGTATTTCCAAACACAAGTGAAGATGACACATTCGAGAAAACTGTATGGGGGATGTCAAACGAGGGGCTAGGTATGGCTCATGGCAGGTGACAATGAGAAGCACAAATGCAAGTGAAGGGTTTGAATCAAGTTTCACAAACCATGAGCATGGAAAAGAATTGCCTTTAAAATAAAGTTAGTCTTAAAAAATATGTGCTTTAAAATCTTTCCATTTAAAAAAAACTTTCAATATGAAATATTTTCACTAAATATCATAACCAGAGAGTTGCGTGTTTCATCTGCATCCCTAAGTGTTTTAATTAGAATAGTGGGCCAAATTCCTTTTTAAAAAATATCTCGTTGGGAAAAGGAGGGCAATGTATTCAAGCATATTGTCAATTCCATCACCACCCTACCTCCAATATCACGTGCTAAGCAGTGAGACTCTCCCCAGCTGCCTCCTCCCGGCGTCTCCCTCCTCCACCGCACCCCCAGCATGGCTGAGCCCAAGCCACAAGGCTGAACTGGAAGATGGTTACAGGTTGACGGTGGGCTGGGAGTCTGGAGCCTGGAAGGAGAAGGAGAGCTGCCTGCTGGGCAGGGCCGGGCTTGGTGGTCAAAACAGCTTGGGTTTGCAAGGGCTAGGCGGCTTAGAAACCATGTCACCTAACCCTCAATCCGTGCTGTGCGTTTACTTCTCATCTGAGCCTCATCATCTCATCTGTGAATTGAAATTAAGGAGGGCGTCCCTGATAGGGTCACAGTAAGGGTGAGGCTTACACAATGGCCAGCACTTTGTACAACAATGGGCCGGGGCCAGACTGCGCAGGAGAGGAGAAAGAGGGAGAAATCCTGCCTGGAAGCAGCAGAAAAGCCACAATGGGAGAACACTGACCACACACACACACACACACACACACACACACAGAGAACACTGACCACACACACACACACACACAGAGAACACTGACCACACACACACACACACACACACACACACACACACACACACACACACACACACACACACACACACACACTTCCCCCAGCCATGGAGCCTGGGTCAGCTGCCCCTTCCTTCTCTGCAGCCCCCACAAGTCAGCCCAAGGACAGTTCTGTTCCCAAATCCTATATAAGCTGCCTTCCGTTCCTCCTCCTGACCCCAACAGCCCCTGGACTTCCCCATCATTGTCTTGTCATGGTCAGGGTGTTTCTCCCACCAGTCTGGAGGACAGGTGATGATTGTCATCATCCCAACCTGGGCACTCAGGTGCTCCAAGGCAAGGGCATGGCTGAGGCAACACCGGCTTTTCCCAGCAGGTGGCAGCAGTTGCCAATATCAGGGATCCGGTGGGCAAGCACCTCCACCTGCACCCTCCCAGCCTGTAAAACGGAAACCCCAAACTGTGCCTGGGCTTAGGGGGCTTCCAGATGCCCAACCTGTCCCTCAGTGCTCCTTTACAGGAACACAGCGCATCCACACGTGCCAATGTTTATCGCTTACTCCACAAACACCCTTTCTGTGCCATCCCTGGGGAATCAACAAGAGCATGACCCAGTTCCTTCCCTTGTGCTGCCGAGTTGCTCAGTCGTGTCCCACTCTTTGTGATCCCATGGACTGTAGCCCACCAGGCTCCTCTGTCCATGGGATTCTCCAGGCAAGAAGAATCCTGGAGTGGGTTGCCATACCCTCCTCCAGGGGATCTTTCCAACCCAGGGATTGAACCCGAGTCTCATATCTCCTGCATTGCTAAGCAGGTTCTTTACCACTAGCTCCCCCTGAGAAACCCCTCTTTCCCTTTAGGTGTCCCCATCCAATGAGGGGACAGATACCTAACACACACTATATCCACACAGGACAATAAGTGCTGTAGTCAGGATAAATACTAAGATCCCACAAGCTTCGTGGTGCAGGCAAAAAAAAAAAAAATTATCCAGGGGAGTTCCCTGGAGGTCCAGTGGTTAGGACTGAACCCTTTTACTACCATGGCCTAGTTTCAATTCTTAGTCAGGGATCTAAAGACCCACAAGCCACAACATGCAGCCAACAAGTAAAGTTAAAGAAACAAAAAGAAAATGTTTCCAGGATGTGACCATTTCTCATCACCACCAGTGCCATCACCTTTTTCCCAGCCACATGCACAATCGCAGTCACTTCCTAAATACATCCCTGCTTCCTCTTCCGTCCATTCTCCACCCAGCAATCAGAGCAATCCTGCTGAAGTCCAAGATGGATCAGGTCCTCTGCTCAAAACCCTCTGGGGGCTCCCATCCCTCTCAGAGGCAAAGTCAAGGGACACAGTCCCCCAAGGCCCCTCCATCTACTCTGACTCCACCTCCTTGGAGCTCTTCCTCACCTATCACGCTCCAGGCATCCTCACCTCCTTGCCGTCTCTCTCATATGCCAGGCATACTCCCTGCTCCTGGTCATTGCACCTGATGCTTCCTCTGCCAGAATGCTCTTCCCCCAGAGACCCATGTGGCTCACTCCCTCAAAGCCAGCACCCTAACCCTTCTGTCCTACTTCATCTTCTCCATAGCATATTATCACCATTATATATGTTGTTTGTTTATCATCTCTTTCCTCTCCCAGAACCCCATGAGCACAAGGACTTTTGTCTGTCACATGTCCAACATCTAGAATAACCAGCACATAGTGGATGCTCAGTGAAAGTGTCAGTCGCTCAGGGCTTCCCAGGTGGCGCTAGTGGTAAAGAATCTGTCCATGCAGGAGATGTTAAGAGATACAGGTTCAATCCTTGGGTAGAGAAGATCCCCTGGAGGAGGGCATGGCAACCCACTCCAGTATCCTTGCCTGGAGAATCCCATGGACAGAGGAGCCCGGCAGGCTTTCCATAGGGCTGGAAAGAGTTGGACACGACTGAAGCAACTTAGCACAGCACAGTATATGCTCAATGAATACTTTTTGCTTAAGGGAGTGAAAGTTGGACCTTTGATTGCCTTCCAATCTTGTCTACATGGTGAAGTTTAACATTCAAGGCCTCTCTCACCGGCCTTATCTCCCACCCATGTGTACCCCTGTGCCTGAGCATCACAGCAGGTTCCTGAGGTTCTCTGGTTGCTCCCCACTCCCACCCCCAGTGTCTGGGCACACTCCTTCTGTCCAGAGTGCCTGCACCACTGCCTGCTGCACGCCCCTCCTTCAACATCCAGCTCAAACATCACTGTCTCTGGGAAGCCACCCTGAATCCCTCACACATTGAAGTTGTGTCCCTCCCACCACCTAAGAGCACCTTAAGTGCAGAATAGTGGCCCCAGAACATGCATTCCCAGCTAATGTTTGATGAATGAATGAATGAGCTTAAGACCTGTATCTATCAGAAAGGTTGTTTAAGGTGAAGGGCACACATTCATTCTTTATTAATTTTTCACACTACCATTTAATATGCATCTCAATAAGGGATGCTTGGCATGATACCAGGACTCTCTGAGGGCAGGAGCTGTGTCTCCCTATCCTCTCCCCCAAAAGGGCCAGACAACAGGCTCTGGGGCTGCGCCCATGACTCACCCCACTGAGTCACCCTGCACACAGGAAAGCACTCTGGACCAGGAATCAACACTCTGCCTGCCACCTGCTCCTGTAACCCTGGACAAGCCCCCCTAGCAGATGAGTCCCGGTCTCGCATCTGTCAAATGGGACACCACCAGACCAGCGCCTGCTCTGTGGGTCACTCAAGATTGAGTTCTGGACAAGTGGAAGGGGTGTGGCTGTCTCTCAGGTCAGGCTACATCTGAGCTAGCCTTGGGCCGGACTTTCCAGGGAAAGAGGGATGGCTGGAACGGTGCCTCCAGCCCGTCTGCCAGCCAGCTAACCTGAGCCCACAGTCTGGGAGAAATGCCAGGCTCTGACACACTTCGCAGCAGGGGGCTGGCTCAACTCCAGAGCAACACCTCTGGCAGCCCCTGGGGAGGGGAAGGGGGAATGCTTGGCTCCAGGTCAAGAGCGTCTGGGCCAGGGCACGGAGGGGGCAGCTGGGAGTGTGCGAGCGGCCGCTGCTCAACAAGAGGCTGGCAGGAACCTGGAAAGGAGCATCTGCTACTGACTAACCCCCAACCACCATCCCTCTCCAGCGCTGCGAAGATCTTCCCATTAGTCCAGGGGAGCTGGGCCCCTGCTTAGCTATCCTCAGCATCTAGGTAGGAAATAAGCTCTCAGGCTCGGGGCTGGGGATGCAGGGTTGGGAATACAGAGGAAGGAGAATGAGATGGGGCAATAACCTAGATCTCCTCCCCTCCAAATGGAGGGGTTCTTGCAATCTTGCTGAGAGTAGAAACAATGAGGTGGTCGCTCAGCATCAGACTGTGAACCGAGAAATCCTGGGGAAAGAGGGAGCCTGAGCCTGAGTCTGGATGAGATACTAGGGGGAAGGCCGGAGGGGTGGGAGGCACAAAGGCTGGAACTCTGGAGGTTTGGGGAGGGGGGTGATGCTGCAGACCCCAAGGCAATAAAATTAAGGAGGGAGGTGGGGTCTGGCCTCTAGCATAGATTTGAGGCGCTCTGCAGGTAAGATCCAGAAACATTGTCTCCGTCCAGAAGGAGGGATGCTGAGCGGTTGAGTCGAGGGAGGATTGGGATGGGACGGAGCAGGGGCTCTGGGGAGCGACCTCCGGGAGGGATCGAACGGACATCGAGAACGCAAGGGAACGAGGTCCCGGGGGCTGTGACCCTTCAGCCCCTTCGGAGGACCTTAAGAGGGATGCGGAGGGAGCCCCCGTGTCAAGAGTCCCAGAGCGGGGCTCTAGGCAGGGACCCGCCGGGGCGGGGCGGGCGCGGGGCGGGGCCGGGCTGGGGGCTGGGCCGGGGTCCCGGGGGCCGGGGCGGGGCCGGGCTGGCGCTGCGCAGCCGCCGGGCGGCCGCCGCGCATGCGGGGCTCACCGGGCTGCAGCCGGCGCCGCTGCCACTCCCGGGAGCATGAAGGACCGAACCCAGGAGCTCCGCACGGTGAGTCCAGCCCCTGCGCGGCGCCGCTGGCCGCCGGCGCCCAGCGCCCGGGCCGCTCCCCGAGCGGCTCTGGCGGCCCCTGGGGCGGTCGCCCCTGCGCCCCCGGCCAGGGCGGGAGCGAGCGGTGCCGACCTGGGGGACCCCGACCGCACTCCGGGTCCCGCCCCTCGGACCCCCTGGGGTCACGAGCTCGTGTGAGCTCGGCTCCGATGGCCCGCGGGCTGGCGGCTGGAACCCGGGGTCCTAGATAAACTTTTCGGCGCCCCCCTTGTTTTCGGAGGGATATTCTGGAATATCGGTGGCGGGACCGAAGCTTGGCCTCTCCGTCGCCCGGCGTAGCAGGTCCCGACCCTTGTCTCCCCCCTGTGCCTCCTCACTGACCCTCCTGCCCTCCCTCTGGTTTAGACCAACGGCGGGACCTGTGGGATAGGAAGGGGCCGGGGGCGGTCCCCTGTCCAGAGCCCGGCTGCAGGGCGCGCTGCGGAACCCGGCCGGTCGGGTGGGGCCGGGCTCCTCGGGCGGGCGCGGTCTCGCGGGACGGCCGCCGCCCCCATCACCTTCCGTCACCTGTAGCTCCCATCACCTGTGGCTCCCCAGCCGGTGGTGATCGGCAGCTGCTCCTCTCCCCGATCCGGGAGGGGTCAGACCCGCTCTCGTTTCCTCTTGGCTTCCGGGCGGCCGGGGCCGGCGTTTCCAGACCCTTCCTGGGTTCCCAGATGGGATTCCGGCCTGAACCTATTTTTTTCCACCTGTGTTTCGGAGGCCACTGGGGTGTGGCTTCTGGGGCGGGGTTCCGGTGGGGGGAGCAGAAGGATGCGCAGGTTTCGAGTCAGAGCCCGCCCTCTGCCCGCCCAGACAGAGACCCCTGCCCCCTGCTGCTTATTATCAAAGCCCCCCGCCTCCCCTGGCCTCTGCTGTTAACCGGGGTGTTCGCACCTCTGCCCTTAAAGATGTCAATCCTGGGAGGGGCTACGGGGCCCAGACCGTGCAGAGTAGGAAATGAAGCCTGCCTGTGGGGAACCGGGACGTCAGGGCTCTAGACCAGGTTGAGGCTCCCTCTGAGGCCCTGGCTGACCACCCTGCTGATCCCTTGTGGGGGGTGGCGGTGAGCAGAGTCTCCCCAGAACCCTTCCCCTGCTACCCAGCTTAGAGCCGGAGACCTGGTCCGCTTATATGGAAAGTTCCAAGCATCCTCTGGGCTTGTGACTCCGTGGCTGGTCCTCTCTGCCCGCAGCTTCCCTGCATTTGTGCCTGGCTCTCCCCCATGGTACCAGTCTTGTCTCCTGGGCAGCCTGGGGCTGGCATCTGTGCTCTCCTGACTCCATCGCCCCTTGCTCTGGCTGCCAGCCCCCACTCTCCCGTTAGACCTGTATTATTTCTGGCTGAGTGCCCAGCTCCCCCCCTCCAGGGTAAACCCCTGGAGGTTTCAAAAGAAGATGGTCCCTCATGTCGAATATGGTGTCTATAAACACTCCCCCGCCAGCCTTGCGGTTGCCCTCAAGTTTCCTGTGTTGGTAGAATCAGAAGGAGCGTTGTTATCTTGGGGATGGAGGGCGTGTAGTGCATTTGCTGGTGTTTGGGTGCCTGGTGGGTCAGACCAGAGCGTCTGTGGGAACCAGTGCTCAGGGGGAACGGAGCCCTTGACGTCTGACGTCTTCTGACTCATCACCTTCATCCCCTCCGCTGAAGGGAAAACAAAGGCACAAGAGAGAGAGAGAGATGTGGCTGGCCTGGCAGATCAAGTGGGATGGGGGAAAGGGGCTTTACCGAGGCCTGAAAACAGTCAGACTTAGACATGGCTGACACCTAAGGCCTAAGAGACATTGGACTGTAGGCGCTTGAAGCCAGGTCTTTGCTCTGGTGTGTGTCTGTGAATCCCTCCCCCACCCCAGCACACACACACACACACACACAGATACAAACGCACGCGCGCCAGCCCGGTCCTTAGGTGATGAGGCCTGGCTTCTCTGAGAGTAATCTGAGGCTTCCTCTCCAGACGTTCCCCCACTCCAGGCATTCAGTGCCCACGCAGGCTGCCCTACTCGTGGCTGGGTGGCCCTGTCCCTTAGGAGCTGCTAGCATCCCTGAGGGTCAGCTGGCAGGAGCCCACATTGAGTGGGGTGCAGCTGTTAGTCTAAGGGGGTGGCCATTCCCACAAGTCTTCCTTTGGGCTGCACAGATTCCCATCTAGGAAGTAGGGATGGGAAAACTGAGAACCCAGCTTCTCAGGGCAAGAGGTCACAGGTCTCCTAACTCCGATTCCATATCTGGGGGAGATCTTGAACCCCAGGAACTAGAATCCCCAAGGAACTGAGAGGCCAGTACTGGCTGGACTGGACAGAGGGTGGTGCTTGGGACAGCTGCTTGCACCATCCCCACCCTGCCTCCCCCTCCCTCCCCCCTCCTCCTCCTTCCTCACCCCACGCCACCACATTTGGAAGAAGGAAAGCAAGCGAAGGGAGCTTATTTATAAAAGTCACACTTGGGAAAGGAGCTGGCATGCGTCCTCCGCTCTGCAGGCCAGGCCCAGCCCTCCAGCCTTCTCCAGCCTTCTCCAGCCCTTCTCATCTCTCACGGCGGGCCGATCCTCTCCTGCAGAGAGAGAAGGAAAGGGTCATCCGGGGCCAGTGTGGGGGCCTGAAAGCTCCCGACGGCCCTCGGAGATCAGAAGGGCAACCTGGAGCCCGAGGAGGGGTGCCGATGTGTGCGACCAGAGTGTATAAAACCAGGGGGACTGTGGGGACAGGTGTCCCCAGGCAGCCTCAACCTGGCCAGCGGCCACCTCCGTCCCCCAGTTCAGAGCCCTCCCCAGTTTTCTTTCCGAGGACTGCTCGGAGATGACACCCCTCCGTGGGCCCAGAACAGTGTTTGTGTATCTCCTGGGCCATGTGAGACACAGTGGGGCCTGAGGCAGGAGCCAGAAGCCAGAGAGGAGGGAGCATGGTGCAGTCAGAGCAGGCACCTTCCTGGAAGAAGACTAGGATCACCAGGGGAGGAACTGGATTTGAACGAGAGGAGGGAGGTGGGCCAAAAGAGTGAGAAAAGGCAGAGGGGCTGGCGATGCCTGGGCCTGACACCCAGGGTTCCGGCTCGCTCACCCGGGCAGCAGGCAGGCCTGAGTGGTGAAGCCTAGTGCTCCGTCTGCCGACTGAAGGGACTGTTCGGAGCAAGAACAGGCAGGTGGGTGCCTTAACCTCTCTGTGCTCATTTGTCTGCATAATGGAGCCTGGAGCCGGCCGCTTCACCCTGCAGAGCAGAAGAAATGGGGGTGTAAGAATAGACCCAGGCTAGGGGCCCTTCCTTCCTTCCCATCACCTCCTTGGGATTTCTTTAAAAAAAAATTAATAATGAATTCGGGCACATGTTCATCTGAGGTGCAGATGGCATCCAGGGACTATCTAGTGCAACTTCCTATTTTACAAAGTGGGAAACTGAGGTTCAGAAAGGGCCAGGAGTTTATCTCAGGTCACACAGCTCCTGGAGGGAGGCAGAGCCCGGCCCCTCCCCACACCCTGAAGCTGCTTCCCTGAGTTGTGCTGGGGCCCTGCTAAGGGGTAGACTGGCAGAGGCGATCTGGTGGGGGGGGTGGGGGGGTGGTTTGCAGGTTGGGGAAAAGAGGAAGGGGTCAGAGAGAGAGTCCTTTCTTTCTGGACCTAGCTCAGTCTCTCGCACACCCCTGACTCAGCTCTGGGCCTCTCTGCTTTAGTGAGATAGGCTTTGATTAGTCATTAAAAAGAAGGGGAAAAAAAAAATAGCCCTCGAGACAGACAACAGCAACTCCTGCTCCAGCAGCAATGAATCAACCCTGCCTGCTGGCCGGCCGCCATCTCCCGGGACGGGCCTGGAGGCTGCCTGGCCTCCGCACCTCTTGGAGGAATCACACTCTTATTTCCAGGAAGGGATTGTGGAATCCTGGAGCCTCTGCCCAGAGAGACCACCAGGACTGTGCAACAGGGGCTTCTAGTGGGGTCCCCTCCCCGGTCTCAAGAGGTCCCTGTAGTAGGGGCGGTGCTCACTCCCTCCCTGACTTCCTTTCCTGATTGCTCAGGCTGTGGTGATGAGACCGGAGCCAAGATAGCCAGCTGGCCAGAGACCAGGACAGTGGTTCCCAATCCTGGGGGGCTTTAAAAAAAAAAAAAAACTTAACCTCACCAGCGCCATCCCCATAGATTCTCATTTAGTCTGGAAGCTGTTTGTTTGTTTTAAAAAAAAAAACCCTACCCCCAAGGGACTCTGTTGCTGGACCAAGGTTGAGAACTCCTGAAAGATAACTAAAAATGTGCATGCATGCTCAGTCATGTCTGACTCTTTGTGACCCCATGGACTGTAGCCCACCAGGCTCCTCTGTCCATGGGATCTTCCAGGCAAGAATGCTGGAGTGGGTTGCTGTTTCCTCCTCCAGGGGATCTTCCCGATCCAGGGATCAAACGCACATCTTCTGCACAGGCAGGCAGATTCTTTATCACTGAGCCACCTGGGAAGCCACGAATTAAAAACACCAGGATCAAAAAGCAAACACCAGGACCAATTGGATGTCGGTCGGATATGAGAGGAGGAAGAGTGTGGATGCCCCCCAGTTTCTGACTTGGGAGACTCTTTAAGAACAGGGCTCTGAACAAGGGGGTTGGTTCAGAGAAAGGGGCTTAGGAGGAAGAAGTGGAACTTAGTTCTGGCCAGCTGGTTGGCAACGTGCCCATGTGATGTCTGGCGGCAGGGGTGGGGGGTTGTCCGGAAGACAGTTGTACCTCGGAGCTTGTAACTGCCTCACGACTCCAGCTGCCGCCTCCACACCACAGCTTCTCCGGTCCCCGACTCTAGTCCAGCCGTCTTTCCGGAGCTGTGACTGCCACTTTGAGAGGGTTGGCCGATTCCCAAGGGAGCTGGGGCCGTAATCAATCAGTGCCTTGGCATAGATGGGGATAAAGTAGGAGGGGGCAACAGAAGCATAAACCATCAGATTCTCACAGACTGGGACAAGGACCAGAACAAATGAAGATCCTTCATTTGAGCCCAAAAGCCAACCAAGTAAACAGGGAGGGAAGGGCTTCTTCCTTGGCAGGAAGAACTGTGTGATGATTTCTGTGATCTCTGGCTGCATTAACAGAGGTCGACTTTATAGAAAGAGGGAGATGGTGGGTCAGCTCTTTGGCCCTGCTCAGACCACAGTCAGCAACAGATTCAGTTTCTATCTTGTACTTCTGGAGAAGACAGACTAAGTGGAACAAATCTGGGGCAGGGGTTTCAACTTAAGGCCTCTGGGAAGGACCTGAAGTGGAGGGAACTTGGTCAGCTTGAGAAGAAAAAACCAGGGAGGACGCAGATGCTACCCTCAGATCTCTGGCCCTCAGATTTCTGGCAGGGCCAGCCCAGGGAGGGGGGACCAACAGGTTCTTTATGGCTTAGGGCCAACTTGTAGGAAAGAGAAGGACTTTCTTACAGTTGGGGCTGCCCCAGATAGACAGAAAGGCCTGGGGGAGCTAGCGAGCTCTCTACCACTGGAGGGGTGAAAGCTGTGACCAGAAGCCGTGGCCAAGGTGACTTTTCAGGTCTCCCGGGGTTTGAGAGAGTGTCGCAGTGGCTCCAGTAGGGATGTGAATAGGGTGTGGGGAGTGAGAGGAGCGAGATCCCGTCCCTGGGGAGATGAGGAATGCTTCCGAAAGAGATGGCATCTAATGAAGAAGGGAATGTCCGTTTCACAGAATCAGCACTGCAGACAGGGGGAGCCGCCTGGGGACCACAGAGAGGACAGTGGGAAGGTTCTAGGGACGGGAGATGGCTATAGGTGGGGTGTGCTGGGATCAGATTTCAGACTGGAGCAATGAGATGAAGTGGGGGTGGGTGGAGGGGTGAGAGTGGAAAGAGCCCTGAGGAGGAAGAAGTAGCACTTGGAAGGGATGCCCTGGGAGCATCCACTCCCGGTTTTGCTCAGAGCCATGGTTGGTTTGACCCAGGCTGTGAGGTCAGGCCCTAATGTATTTGTGTGCCTGTGTGCATACTCAGTCATGTCTGCCTTTTTGTGACCCCATGGACTATAGCCTGCGGGTTCCTCTGTCTACGGGATTTTCCAGGCAAGAATACTGGCATGGGTTGCCATTTCCTCCTCCAGGGGATCTTCCCAACCCAAGAATCGAACCTTCGTTCTCCTGCGTCTCCTGCATTGGCAGGCAGGTTCTTTACCCCTAGTGCCACTTAATTGATGGAGAGCATGGAGGAGGCTCTGGCATCTCCCTGCCACCCTTCTGTTGGAGAAACTACCCGAGTCCAGCCTTTGTACACAGAGGCCGTGCAGGGAGCAGGTCAGAGCTGGCTGGATGCCTGGAGAAGACAAGTCCATTTGGCAGGTGGGCAAGCTGAGGCCCAGAGGGGGGCACCAGCCCTGGGGTCCCAGTCCCCGGCAGTGGCTCTCATCTCTGGTGACTCAGGCGCCCTTGTCTTGGGCTCCAGCTGGCCATTGCTCCCGGAGGGAATGGGGCTGGAATATTCTCCTTCCACCTCCTCCCGTTCCCTGTCCTCTGGGTACCGGAACGACAGAGAGGCCAGGATGCTGCATGGCAGGACCTCCCGGGGACACCTCCCAAGCTGGCCGACTGCCGTGGAGAGGGCCCTGGGCACCTCCATCACACCCTGCCTCGGTTTCCCTGTGGAGTGCTCCTTCTCCAGCTCAGCTTCCAGATTCTCTGTGGCTACGGGTGGGCTTGGTGGGGGGATGGGGACCACCTGGTGGCAGCCACCAGCACTTGTGGGAGCGGGGACTTATTTTAGCTGCTGGGGGAGGAGGTGTGATCTCTTGATGAGAGGGGCCGCCTCCATAAAGCTCCCAACCGGCCCCTTCTCTTGGTTGGCCCCACTTGGGTGGGGTGGTGGGACCCCGAGAGCCCCAGTCCTTTGCAGAACGTGCTGTGGTTCCCCATCCATCCTAGGCCCGCCTTCCCCCAGCAGAGCATCGCTGTCCCCATTTCACAGAGGAGCAGGCAGACCCCGAGCGAAGTCCCTGAGCCCGTCGGTGTCTGTCTGGGCATGGGACCCGGCCCCTTGGGAGCCGGCGGGGGCCCAGCGCCCCATCCCCTCCCCCTCTGCCTGCCCGCATCCTCACGAGAGAGCATCAAGGCAAGGGCCACTGCCTCCTCCCCGCTGGGCACTGAGGATGGGGGGGCAGGACCCAGCCCGAGAACCCCAGGTGCCCGTCCTACCCTGAGTAGCCTGGCCTTGGCTGTGAGGGACGTTGGCCTTGCCTGCAGAGTGGGCCGACCCTGGCTGACTCCAGGTGTGAGACAGACAGTAATGAGCGTGGCTGGCATGCTGGGAAGTCAGAGATGTAATTACCTCCAACCCTGTGATGGGCTGGCGTTTGTGCGGCGGCTCCTGGGGCCGAGGGGCAGAGCCGACACCTGCGGCTGAGACCCAAGGCAGGCCCCGAGCCAAGTGACAACATGACTGGCCTCTGGTGCCTGTCAGACCCAACTCTGCACCTGGAAGGAAAGAGGATCAAGGTGAATGCCAAGACTAACAGGGAGAGGGACTTCCCTGATAGTCCAGTGGCTAAGACTTCATGCTGCCAATGCAGGAAACCTGGGTTCCATCCCTGCTCAGGGTTCTAGATCCCACATGCCACAACTAAGACCCAGCACAACCAAATAGATAAATAAATATTAAAAAAAAAAAAAGAAGAAGAAGAAAGACTAACAATAGAGGTCTCCAAGCAGTCTGAGGGAACAGGCCTGGAGGCTCCCTGAGCCCTCCATGGGCAGTAGCTGTCAGGCCAGCCTGGGTGCTGTGGGCGTGACCCATATCTGAGCCGTCCTACTTTTTGGCAGAGGTGTTGGTGGTGCCTAGGCCTGGGGGCTTCTCTGGTGGCTCAGTCGGTAAAAGAATCTGCTTGCAATGCGGGAGACCCAGGTTTCATCCCTGGGTGAGGAAGATCCTTTGCAGAAGGGAATGGCAACCCACTCCAGTAGTCTTGTCTGGAGAATTCCATGGACAGAGGAGCCTGGTGGGCTGCAGTCCATGGGGTCATAAAGAGTCGGACACGACTGAACAACCCCAGGGATGTTCCCGGTCTCACTGGGGCTGGGGGCTGAGGGTGCAGCCAGGCCTTGTCCCTGCCAAGGGGATGGACAAGGATGGCCGGGCCTCAGCGCTCCAACCGGAGAGCCTGCGCTATGGGGATCCTGGGCAGCTTGGGCTCCCAGGTCCCACGGGACCCAGTGGTCCTGCCACAGGGGCGCTCACGTGTGTCCACCCCGTGCAGGCCAAGGACAGCGACGATGATGACGACGTCACTGTCACCGTGGACCGAGACCGCTTCATGGATGAGTTCTTCGAGCAGGTGGGGGCAGCACCCCCGCCTCTCCCCAAACACCGGCAGACCTGGGGCGGCCACGCCTCACCTCTCAGCCGGGCCCAGGGCTCTTACATGCCCGCGCCTGGGCTCAGCAGCCCATGGGCACTGAGTAGTGAGCCCATTTTGAGGATAAATAGACAGGTTCAGCAGGGAGCAAAATTGGGGATTGCCCACTCCTTCCCACTCCCCCATTCTAGAAGAATCCTTGGATCAGCACTGCCCACTCCCCTCACCACACACACACCCCTGAACCTTGCCCAGCCTGGCTCCGACCTCCAGCCCTACTCTGGGCCCCAGAAGGCCCCTCCCTGGATTTCCGCCCCCAGAGCACCTGGCCTTGGCCCACAGGTGGAGGAGATCAGAGGCTTCATTGACAAGATCTCGGAGAACGTGGAGGAGGTGAAGCGCAAACACAGCGCCATCCTGGCCTCCCCCAACCCTGACGAGAGTGAGTGTGTGGGTGTGCGGGGTGGGGGTGGGGGGCGCCCAGGCCTTCAGGAAGGCGCTGCAGCCAGGGAGGGGACACCCTGCCTTGCTGGCCAGGTTGGGGAGGGTCAGGAAACAGGCTCTCAGGCCTGGGTCGGGGGCGGTTCAGTGCCCTTAATCACCTGTGGGGTGCCTGGTGGGAGGGGCGGGGTCAGGTGGCTGGCCCCGCCTTCCCCAGGTAACTTGGCTGCTTTCTAAGACAGCCCTGGATCCTGGGAGGGGGGGAAGGAGGGAGGAGCTGCCTGTGATCAATAGGAGGGGTCCCAGCCAGCCCTTCCCTTTCTATCGCCTCCCCGGGGAGCAGATGGCTGCTCTGAGGCATCAGCGCTGTGGGAGGGCAAGCCGGCCAAGCCGGCAGTTTCCGGAAAAAGCTGGCGGCCCTGGCACTCGGCCACTGGTGCCTCAGAGCTGGGCATTCTCAGGGCTCCAGGAAGTCACCTCTCTCTCCCTCTGCACAGGGAACATGTGTGTGTCTGTTTCACTCTGTCCCCAGGCGGGTCCCCCTGACCTGTGGAGGCATTGATTACTACTACGCTAATAATGGGCCAGGCTGACAGCATGCTGGCCTGGGACCCCTCTCCCCTAGAGGGGGTTCACCTTCAGCCCAGGGAGGCAGTGATGGGCCAGGGCTCAGGCCAGCCACCTGGACTCATCAGATTGGGCGTGTGTGCCGCCTGCCTGTTCTCGCAGGTTGCTCACCTCCCCTCTCCCTTCTCCAGCTCCTTTGGAAGGCCCCAGCCCTTGGGGCCCCAGGACAGAGCATGGAGCAGGGTCCAGCTGCTGCCCAGGTGTTCAGGAGGAAGGGCCTAGGGCCCATAGCCCCCCACCCAGGCACCCAAGGCTTGATTCCGTTCTCAGTTCCAGCACTGCCTCTCTATCCGTGGCCTCTCAACCCCAGGCCCACAGGCATCCTCAAGCACCCAGAATAAATCTCTCCACGGCCCCAAAGTGTGTTTGGACCTGATCCCAGTGCCACACCAACCAAGCCCAGTGCCAGGCCCTTGAAAGGCAGAGCAAGTCAGCTGGGAGCCAGGGAGACTGAACCAGGAAGGGTTGGAGAGGAGACAGGGACCCCCCCCAGAGCAGGGCATAACCTCCGGTGTGGTCCTCAGGTCGTCCTGGCTCCCCTCCCACCCCACCTAGAGGTGTGTCAGGGATGGCGTCATGTGACATGGTTTGTCTGCATGCCCACATGTATCTGGGTCATCGCGTGTCCCTGGTGGGTCACTCCTGGTGAGGCTCAGGATGGGGGCTGACTGTGGGGTGAGACTGTAAAGAGCTGGATTTGGCCTCTCATCTGCCAGAAGATGGAGCAGGCGGAGGGTAGGGTGGGGAGACGGAGTTGCCCTGCTCCCACCCTTAGCTGTATTGTGTCGCCTTCATCAGATATCAGCAATGACCAGTTCAGAATTTGCTACCTGTGAGCTGAGCAGTCAGGACCTGGCACTTCCCAAGGGGGGAGGGGCCCCCATGAAGGGCTCTAGGGGAGGAGGGCCCCCCATGAAGGGCTCTGGGCAGAGGCGGAGCAGGGTTGGGGAGGCATCGCAAGGGAAGTTGGCAGGAACTGGGGGGCTTTCCCGGGCCAAGGCTTGCTCTGCCTTCTCTAGGGACGGCCATCCGGGCTGGGCTATTTTGGGTCTGAGCGAGAGAGGCTGAGACATCACAGCAGCTGGTAACCGAGCTTTCCTTTGTTCCTACGAATAAGGCGCACGCACCCCGCTCCTGGAAGCCCCCACTCCCCCTCACTCACTCAACTGGCCACTGTCAATGCCGCTCCTGAGGCCCCCCAGGGGAGAAGCCCCAGCCCCTGAAGCAAGCACTGGATGGATGTGAACGTTGAATCCAGAAGTTCAGTCCTGGTTTCTCCAGGGGGTGGAGTCTTGGGGGGGTGTGCCCTGAGGTGGAGCTCCACCCAGTGCCCCAGAGGGAAGCAGCCTTCTTGCCCCACTTTGCCAGTGAACCCCTCCCAGGGAACAGGGCAAGCTGGGCACTCCCATAGCTTCTGCCAGCTTTAGGGAGATGGTTCCAGTTGGAACAAGGGCCAGAAACTATGCCACCGCCCTCCCCCAGCTCCACCCTCTCTCATAGGCCCGGCCACATGCTACCTCCAGAGGCGACCGTACCCCAGGAGTCCCCTCTTCAGCTCTTCTCTCAGCCCCCACCCAGGCCAGGTGCCACTCACCTACCGGGCCCTCAGTAGTTAGCCTTCGCTGAGCTCAGACCTGAGGAGCAGGGCTTTGTGAGTAGAACAGGGTCTGCCCTGCCCAGGGTGCTCGATGGGGCTGGCTTCTGCCTCCTTGGCCCTTGGCCCCGTCAGCTCTTCAGCCGGGTGCTTCGCGCCCTGAGCCACCAGGTAGCGCTAGGTGAGCCTTCTCCCCCCACCCTCGACTCCGGCAAGTATCAACTAAATGTTCCCCAGTGCCAACTCCAGCATCGCCAGCTGCTCCACAATTATTTCTGCCTTAAATTTAGACCCATCTGTTATCTACAGGGGGTGGGGGGAGCCAGCTCCTTGGAAGGGAGCTCCTTGGAAGACAACACGAGAAGGGGTGAGGCTGCACCTGGTGTGGGCCAGCCCGGGATTGGAGGGGCAGGCAGGGCCTTAGCCAGCGGACAAGGGAGACCCAGGGTCTGCCCAGAGCCCCTCCTCAGGCCTCCACAGGGGAGCCCAGGGCATCTACCCCCACGCCTTCTACCTCCCTAGAGACAAAGGAGGAGCTGGAGGAACTCATGTCCGACATAAAGAAGACAGCAAACAGAGTCCGTTCCGAGTTAAAGAGTGAGTCTGGGGTGCGAGGGGCACTCTGGGCCTGCCTCCCCCACACTGCCCGGGGGTTTCCCTGACTCAGAGGCTCACACTGGGCCTTCCTTGTCATCCTTGTGAGGGTGCCACCACGTGCCGTTCCCTCGGCAGCTACCCGGAGAGGCCTGTTGGTGCCAGGCTCTGGGCCGGGCCTCAGGACCGGTGCTGCGGTTTCCTCTAGGGACTGTTCCACCCTGGACGGTGTCCCCCACCTAGGCTAAAGAGGGTTAGAGCGGTGGCTGGCACTGCCTGGTCCCACGCAGGGGCCCGCATGCACTCCTGGGAGCACAGGCATGCCTGCCCTGGAATGCACCAGCGCCCTGTGGTTGTGGCCACCTGCCCCGCCCCCATGGCATGCTCCGCCCCTTGTTCCATACACAACCTTCGTAATCAGGACGGGGTGGGCTTGCCCTACCAGGCTTAGCACACAGTAGGTGCTCACACTCACACACTTACCGATACACAGCTTAGTGTGTGCCTGGGGCCTCACAGCTGAGTGTACATGCACACACCCACACATCTTGCCTGGAATAGCCTTTGCCGGCCCCGCCTGCATCGGTGCGTGGCGCGGCCCCTTCCTCTGCTTCCTGTGTGACCCCACTCAACAGACAACCCGAGTCCCTCCAGGGGAGGTTCCGAGCCCGATCCCGGGTGTGTGGGCGGCGAGGCAGCGGCGAACGGGGCAGGTTATCAGCAGCCGGCTGTTCCCCAGGCATCGAGCAGAGCATTGAGCAGGAGGAAGGCCTGAACCGCTCCTCCGCAGACCTGAGGATCCGAAAGACACAGGTGTGGGCGGGGTCTCCGGGGCGAGTAGCGGGGCGCCTGAGGCTCTGGGGCCCGGGTGGGGCTGGGGCTGACACCTGCACTCCCGTCTCGGGCCCCCAGCACTCCACACTGTCCCGGAAGTTCGTGGAGGTGATGTCCGAGTACAACGCCACGCAGTCTGACTACCGCGAGCGCTGCAAGGGCCGCATCCAGAGGCAGCTGGAGATCAGTAAGCTGGAGGGGCGGGGCCGGGCGGAGGGGCGGGGCCAGACTGCCGCTGACAGCTCTGGGGAAGGGCCTGGCTCAGTTTGACCTCTGCTCGCAGCCGGCCGGACCACGACCAGCGAGGAGCTGGAGGACATGCTGGAGAGTGGAAACCCCGCCATCTTTGCCTCCGGGGTGAGTGTAGACCCCTCTCACCGGGGTCCCGGGTGTGTGTGCAAAGTGCTGGATCTGGGCGGTGTTTGGACTCTCTCACCGGTGAAGCAGGTTTTAGAAAAGAAGGCTGAGTCCCGGAGAGGGCAAGGGACAGGCAGAGGTCCCACGTTAGTGGCAAAGGTGGAAGTAAGACTCGTCTCCTGGTTCCTCCCAGTCAGGTCGGCTTCTTGCACCCCGTGCTCACTTGCCACCAGCTAGGGGCTCCTTCCACCATCCTGAGGACCCTTCCCCCCGGGAGGGCACAGTACCCTCGGCCTCTCTACATTCAAGTGAAGCTCTATGTGCTGCCATGCAGGGGAGCTTCCTGAAGGAGGTGGCACACAGGTAGAGAAGGCAGCCTGAACATGTGCTTCTAGGAGGAGGGATCAGCTACATTGAGTGTGGAAGGAAGAACAGGAGGAGAGGTTTCAGGACAAAGGCCATTCAAGGCCTGGGTCCTTGGCGCAGTCATCTTGGGCTCCTACAGCACCGGTGGTGAGAACTACCACTCAGCTGTTAACGGTGTGCAGACACAGGTGGGGACTGTTATTAGCCCCATGTTACAGGTAGGAATCTGCTGGTAGGAAATCAGGTCTCAGAGAAATTCGGTAACAGCTAGTAAGAGCCTGGACTTCGCCAGTGGCTCAGTGGTAAAGAATCTGCCTGCCAGTGCAGGAGACTTGGGTTCGATCTCTGGGTCGAGAAGTTGCCCCTGGAGGAGGAAATGGCAACCCACTCCAATATTCTTGCCTGGGAGATCCCATGGACAGAGGAACCTGGCAGGCTACAGTCCACGGGGTCGCTAAAGGTTCAGACACTACTTAGTGACTAAACAACAATGGTGGGAGCCTAACAGAAAGTGGGGGCGGGGGGGGGCTGTGGCTAAGGACAAAGCCTCAGGCAGGCCCTGCTTCCAGAACATTCTGCTCAGGCCACTGCTCATCCCAGCGGCCTCTGCTCTTGGCCTCTTGCTGTCCTGGCCCCCACCCTTCCGCCTTCGATGGGTCCCCTGGTCCCAGCCTACGGTTTGCACCCCCTAGATCATCATGGACTCCAGCATCTCGAAGCAGGCCCTGAGTGAGATTGAGACACGCCACAGCGAGATCATCAAGCTGGAGAACAGCATCCGGGAGCTGCACGACATGTTTATGGACATGGCCATGCTCGTGGAGAGCCAGGTGGGTGCCCGGGGCCCCCCTGCCACCCCGCCCCCAGCAGCACCCAGGGCTGCACTAACCCTCCCCTTTCTGCCCGCCACGCTGCCCCGCCTGGGAGGGACCCAGTCTTCAGGTAACTCCCTGTGTGCGGTTGAAACTACCCACCTGAAGGATCCTCTCTGCATGGCTCTGCTTGGCTCTCCAGGACCCCAGGCCCTGCATGGTCCTACCCACCTTCACTCGGCCTTGTCCTGTCTCATTCACCAGCTTTTTGTCACGTGGGCACATGGAGGGGCGTTTTTCTAGGAGCCAGAGGAATAGCAACAAGCAAGACCAATGAGGGCCTGCTTCCTGGAGCGGATGTCTGTTGGACAATAGGGCAGCATCAGTGAACGATGAATGGCATGGTCTCCACCCATGCCAGGTGTTAGAGGGAGGCAACCTGACAGAGCAGTGGTTCTCAACCTTAAAAGTGATCAAGAGCCACACTCAGAGGCCTTGTTCCACATTTCCCTATGCTGGCCCCCATTCCCAGAGATTCGCAGGTGGGGGTTTGCTGTTCAGTTGCTCAGCTGTGTCCAACTCTTTGTGACTCCATGGACTGCAGCACACCATGCTCCCCTGTCCTTCACCATCTCCCAGAGTTTGCTCAAATTCACATCCATTGAGTCAGTGATGCCATCCGGCTATCTCATCCTTTGTCACACCCTTCTCCTCCTACCTTCAATTTTTCCCAGCATCAGGGTCTTCTCCAGTGAGTCAGCTCTTCGCATCAGGTGGCCAGAGTACTGGAGCTTCGGCTTCAGCATCAGTCCTTCCAATGAATATTCAGGGTTGATATCCTTTAGAATTGACTTGGGGGTAGGGGTTCATATATTTGTACGTCTTTAAAGTTCAAGAGTGATCCCGATGCTCCTCATCCCTGGGCCATGCTTGGAGTGACAGTCACTGCAGTGACCACTTTGGACGGGGTGGTCAGGGAAGGCCCTCTCTGAGGAGGTGGCATTTGAACTTCAAAGACTTCCCAGGGGAAGAGCAAAGAGCTGGCCCAGGTAGAGGGACCAGAAACACCACAGTCCTGATCAGGACCAGCAAAAGCCTGACTTCCCTGAAAAGCAGAAAGGCATTCTGGGTGGTTAGAGCCCAGGGAGAGTTGGAGATGATGGAGACAGTGGGGGGTGTTGGCAGGCAGTGCTGGGCCCTGGAGTCCTTTCTAGTTGGAGGATCTTGGTGTGGGAGGGACGTGGCCAGTGTCGGGAAGCAGGGAGACCTTCGGAAGCTGCTGCTTGCATTGGGGTGAGAGGTACTGTGGCCACCAGTGGGAGCCGTGGAGGTGGAGAGAGCGTCAGCTGTCATGGTCGAGTGGCCTCTGAGTGCTACTACCAGGTCCATGAGGGCTGTGGGACTGGGTGGGGAGGCGTCAAAAGCTGTCAGGACTGGACAGAACCATCATGCCTGGGGAGGATGGACTGGGAAGGGCTCACCATGGCCAGACTCCCGCCCACCACCACTCACGCCCCTGCCTTGCTCTGCCTGGCGCTGTCCTCTGTTCGGCCCTGGGGTCAGAGCCCCAGGCGACCGTCCTCTGCATGGTCCCCACCCCCTTGGCTGAGGCTGCATGGCCAGTTCCCACCCCTGGGTGGCTGCATTTTGGGGAGCTGCTCGGGGTGCCTGGACCCCCTCCTCACCTCCCCCTTTTCTCTAACCCCAGGCGCTGCTTTCCCAAAATCTTGCCTCGGGCCCCCTCACCACCCAGAGGGGGGCCCTCTGGAGCTGGGGTGCCCCTGGCCCTGCAGGGGGAGATGATTGACAGGATTGAGTACAACGTGGAACATTCGGTGGACTACGTGGAGAGGGCCGTGTCTGACACCAAGAAGGCCGTCAAGTACCAGAGCAAGGCGCGCCGGGTGAGTAGCCCCAGTCCCGCCGGAGCCCACATCCTCACATACCCGTAGAGCCCCCTGCCCCCAAGCATCACAAGTCCCTCCCCGTTTTGCCTTCCCTCGCCCCTCAGCTCCGACAAGAGCCTCCGCCTGGCTCTCCCAGGCCTTCATTGTTGTCGTTGTCTAGTTGCTAAGTCATGTCCAACTCTGTGACCCCGTGGACTTGGAGCTCACCAGGCTCCTCTGTCCATGGGATTTCCCAGGCAAAAATACCAGAGTCCCAGACCTTCAGCGCCCCGTTAGAACCCCACCCAGACATGTTCCAGGCCATCACTTTCTCTCTCATCCAGTCCTCCAGACTCTCCCAACTCTCAGCCCTGACCAGAGCCCGCTCCCCAGCAGCCCCCGACCCCTCAAAGTTCTGCCCAGAGGAGGCTCAGCCTCCCTCCCGGCTCCCTGCTTCCGCGCTCTCTGAGGCCTCTCTGTGCCTCCCTGTGCAGAAGAAGATCATGATCGTCATCTGCTGTGTGGTCCTGGGCATTGTGATCGCCTCCACCTTTGGGGGCATCTTCGGATAGAACCCACCCCGCCTGCCACTCCGCTCTGGATGGTCCACCCCCAGGAGACCCCTGGCTGCTGTCCCACCTCTGGCTCGGAGCTCTCCCCGCCACCCGACTGCTCCTTTCTCTGCCACAGGGCCCCCCACTCCCACCCCGCCCTGAGCCGTCGTGTGCATGATCTTTGTGACAGTGTGCGTCTGTACCGAAGAGGCAGAGGGGAGCCAGGCTGGGAAGGAGCCAGCCGGGTGGGAACGGGCCAGCAAGGGACAGACTCAGGCCCAGGCCCCTCCCCTTCGAGGAGGGCTGCCCCGGGGTAGTTAGCCATGCTCCTGTCCCCCAGCCTTCAGTAATTCCACTCCTTCCTGGGGTCTGCCCTCTCCTGGATCAAGGTTCTCTGGACCCCAAACTTGCCTCCTCTGACCAGCCCTCCAGCCCCATCCTGTGTCGTCTCCAGCTGTCCCCCTGAATGGGCACCCCCCTCTGAGGCCTGGGGGCCAGCTGGCCACATGGTGCTGCTTTTTGGTTTAGGGGAGGGGTGGCCCTAAGAGACAGCCCAGCTCTAAGCCTTTAACAGCCAATCACTGCCAGGGGCCGTGGCCAGGTGGCTTCTGGCCGTGTCAAGACCCGGCTTCCTCCCCTGCCTGGGGGCAGAGTCCCAACAGGTCTTCGGCTGCCTCAGCCTCCCTCCTTCCCTAGTTCCTCCAGCCCCTGGAGCAACCCCTTAGGGCTATACCTGACCCCAGGGAACATTCTGGAAGAGGCTGACCAGGGGCCTGGTCTCCTGCCCTTGGAGCTAGGGCGGCAGGGCAGGCCCTAGTCAGGCCTCTGCACTGGTGAAGCCCATGCCCGGGCCATCAGCTCTCCCCGGGTTGGGTCCTCAAGCCATTGTGTGTTGCATGTGTGGGACAGTGGTCCCGGCTCTCCTGTGCTCGAGAAGTCAGTGTCACTTCAGGCCTGCAATCTTGTCCCACCCTTACTGCCCGCCCCCCATCCCCACCACGTGGGTGTTGGATGTCTCGGATGCAGTATTCAGCCAGGGAGGGGGCACCTCCCTCCTCCCCACCGGCTCGGGACTTCTCAAGTCTGAACCGTGCTCCCCGCCCAGAAGCCCTCTTCCTTGTCGACAGGCAAGGAGTGTGCATGCATGTGCATGCAGCGAGGGACGGGGCCAGGCCTGTGCCCCCACCCGCCCTCCGCTTCGCTCCTGACCACTGTCCGTGTTGCCTTCTTGAACAGCGACTCCCCGCCCCACCCCCACCCCTTCACCAAAGGTCTTGGTACAACCAGCTGCCCATTTTGTGAAATTTTTATGTAGAATAAACATTTGTATCTGTACCACGCCTCAGGTCCAGATTTCTTAGCCTCACGGCCTTGGGGGTGAACGTGAGTGACACCACAGGGCTCACGAGGCCAAGGATCCCAGCCGCCTCCTTCCGCCTGCAGCTTCCAGGCCTTCTCGCCGGCTCCCCCAATGTAGCTTGAACCTCTCAGCTCCAGCCTGATGTCTGTTCTGTACCATGGGCCCAGACTGACCCCCTATTCACACTTTCCCAGAAATCACAAACCACCACTGCTTCCTCTCATCAGCCCACTAGACAGTCCCCACCCAACCCCACAGCAGAATCTGCCCTTCTGACCACCAGTGACTGGAGAGCAGACAGACCCGCAAGAGAGCCCAGCACTGGCCAGTCAACACCTGAGGCAGCAGCCAGGGTCAAAGGTCAGCCCAGGCCACTGGGCTGGATGATGCCTTCAGACCACAGGGAAACCAGACTGGGCAGTGGCCTCAGGCCCACGGATACCATGGATACATGTCACCCTGCCCTTGCTTCCCAACTTTACCTGTTGATGTGAAACAAAATACAGTATTACCAAAGTTAACATGAACACTCCAAAGTTAAAGGAATCTACCCTCATTCCTTGTAGGTTAGAAGAAAGCTTTCAAAAGTTCTTTAAACCTAACTCACACCTGGGAATAAAGCCCCATCCCCAACAGAGGAACTTCTGAAATTTGTCAGGGAGGGAAAAATGCCAGAGCCAAGGTTCCACAGAAAGTGGTTTATTGCTTTCAGAACAAAGTAAGCTCTTAAAATTTTTTTTTCTTTTTTAGTGAAGAAAATGCTTTTAGAACATTAAAACTTTTTCGAACTTTTTCTAAAACTTTTTCTAAGAAAAACACTTTTTGTCAGTGGCTGAAGTAGGCACTTCAATATAGAGAACTCTGCAGAGGCAAGCGCCTGGGCTGGATTGCACAGCTTCTGCCCGTGTGGTCCCCGGGCGGTCCCAGTGGACGCAGTCACCTGCTCAGAAGCGGGGCTTGCGCTTGCGGCCAGTGTACTGGGTGTCAGGGCGGACCTCCCTGTGCCAAGAAGTAACAGGGGCGGGAAGAACAGAACGGGCTCAGGAAAATGAACTATGAACCCCTGGGACCCTGGAGGCAAGAGCCCCAGGCTCTGGGTGGCCAAGCCCTGCCTCCAGCCCACAATCCGCACCCCCAGCACTCACTTGCCCTGCCGCCGGCGGCGTGCCTTCTTCTCCAGGACCCATTCTCGGCTCTTCCTCACCACCCCCCGTCTTGCTATCCTGTACGGGACCCTGTGGGGGAACACAGCTGTCAGTAAGAGGACGGGGCAGCCTAGCCAGCACCTGGGTGAAGCCGGGCAGAGAAACGCGGCTAGTCTCCCCCCAGGCAGGTGGCCTCTGCGGTCCCCACTCTGGACAGCGCCTTCCTGGGGACACCTGCTGGGGCCAGAGCAGCTGCTCAGCAGGAGGCGAGGGTCCCCCTCATTCACGGACATCCTCCAGACTGGGAACCATGTGTTAGGCCTACATCCAAGTGCCTGGGGGGCAGCAGGGGCCAAGTTACTTTGGGGCCAGGATCAGCTCACAAGAGCCTATCCAAGGAGGGACTCTCTTGGCGGGCCAGAGGTTAAGAATCCTCACTTCCACTGCAGGGGACATGGGTTCCATCCCCACGGTCAGGGAACCAAGATTCCACATGTTGTGCAGTATGGCCAAAAATAAAAGTAATTTTTAAAAAAAGACCCCAGGGCTTCCCTGGTGATTCAGTTGTTAAAAATCAGCCTGGCCATGCACACAAGTTCAATCCCTGGTCTAGGAAGATCCCACATGCCATGGTGCCACAACTATGAGCCCGCACTCTAGAACCAACACTACACAAGAGGAACTACCACAAGGAGAGGCCTTCGCACCACTACTAGAGAGTAGCCTCCTGCTCGCTGCAACAAGTGAAAGCCCGTGCAGCAAGGAGACGCAGCAGGACTCAGTGCCGCCAAAAATCAAAAAAGTTTTAAAAACACAGCCTATCCGAGGAGAACCGGAGGCTCCTGGTGCAGAGCAAGCTAGGGCTTCCAGCAACCACGAATGTCTGAGGTAGGAAAACACAGCTGCCCAGCTCACGGCAGCCCTGAAAACAACCCTCAAGAGTTCATGTTGGGCTCCAGTCCTGGCTGAGGAGAACTTTTCTCTTCAGCTCTGTGGGAGAGAAGCCCTGAGAAAGGGCAGAGTCTGGGTCCTCAGAGCACACTCCCCGCCTGGCAGCCGGATCAAACTGTGCTCGGCAATGACACGCCGCGGAGGCTGCCTGCCTGAGGATGCTGTACAGTGGCTATGAGCCAGCTCTGCCGGCAAGAATCCAGGGCCGGGCTGGGGCGGCGACACCCGCACCTGGCCGAGCGCACAGAGGCCAGGAGCAGCTGAGCAAGTGGGGGGGAACGAGCGCCACGGAGGTTAAGCTGGTATTAGTGTGTCTTCATGCAGATATTAGTGTGTCTTCATGCAGAAGGTGGGGCAGAGTCCAGACAGGAAGCGAGACGTGAAAGCAAGGCTCTGGGAAAGGGCTGAAGGGAGAGGTTAGGGAGTAGGAGAGTCTCGGTGTCATGGGTGTAAGAAGGGGAGGGTCCAAGGGAGAATCTGATTGTCTGCTGAGGATCGAGTCATCCTTGAAGTGTCCTCCAAGTCAGGCTGCGTGACACATCCTTCCTGCTGCTACGTCTCATCTGTTCTAACCCAGTAATAAAAGTCAGATAAAAAAAAACACACAACTCCGATTCCCACTTGGCTAGGCCAGTTCACGGAGCTGTGAACACCAGCAAGGAGCGCGCCCTCTCTCCAGGAAGCAGTGAGGCCTTTGCCCAAAGGATGACACATATTCTAGACTTCAGGGTGTAGTGATAGCAGTTCACAGAAAGAAGTTAACAGGCTCACTATGAGGGGGGCAGGAGTCCAATGTACCAGATGCAGAGCAGGAAGCAGCTAAAGACGCAGGACTAAACCCCAGGAGTCCGTAAGGACGGACAAGCTCTGGGGTAGCACAGTGAACGGGGGCAAGATGTGAGCTGCAGGAGGGGTGATGGCAAAGAGTCATCAGGAGAGCCGCAGGAGCAGCGAGGACAGCAAGCGGTGTAGACCACAGAAAGAGGTGAGAGGTGTCCACAGCGCAGAGGCCAGAGGGAAGGACGGCACCTACGGAGTGTGCAAGTGACGAGCGGCAGGGCGGAGGCCGGGTGGTGAGAGGTGAGGAATACATCGGTCAAGCAAAGTTGATGGGGTGGGGGGAGGAAATTAGAGAGGAGTTTGATAAAGGGTTAAAAAACTTTTTCTTGATTTATCTATTTATTGGATTGGCCAAAATGTTCACTTCTGCAAGATGTTATGGAAAAACCTCAGTGAACTTTTTGGCCCAAACAATGTTAGTAAGAGGCTCGAACGTGATCAGACCCAAGTGACACCACCAGGAGAAGCCCCATCAGCCCACAGCGTCCTCCCCACCCTCCCCAAATTGGAGGATTTCAAGAGGAAGAGTCTGTAGGGAGACAGGGTCCGAGCCAGGCACTGCTCCGAGTCCTGCACAGACATGCCCTCGACTCAACACACTGCCTGAGCGGGGGGCAAAGTCCCCCTTGCCAGATTTTTAAATGAGATGAGAAACGGCTGCTGAGGTCCCACAACTTACCTAAGTTTATAGTTAGGACATGTCGTCTGTAGACACCGCTGTGAGGACAAGAGGGAGCCTAAGGTGGATGGAGGGAGTTAAACCACTTGAATTTCCCTGTGAAGCAGGAGACGGGATTGCTTGCTGGGAGCAAGCGATGGGCACCTTGGTGCTGGGAGCTAGTGATGGGCACCTTGGAGGAGAAACAGCGAGGAGAGTGCCCCCCAAGTCCCCATGGGGAATGGGCGGATGAAGCTCAGGGAGATGACCCTGGAGGACCAAAGGGTCAGGGGGCATCAATGCATGGTAGACACGAGGACTGGACTCATGATTTTTCACCATCCCTGGGCCTTCCTAACTCATCCCTTCTCCGCTCATTTTTCCTCTTCAATGTCTTCGAGTCTGAAGACCTTTCACTCTAATCGGAATAAAGAACTAACCTCCTTTACTCTCTTATAATCATTTGCTCCTTCAACAAATACTGAACACCTTTTGCTAACAAGACATTCTTCTGGTATCATGTATACAAGTCCCCACCAAGTTTTCATTGTAGTTGGGGGTAGAAATAATGCCACATAAACAAGTATTTCTGATTCAGAGCTGTGAACAGCGTTAGAGAAAGTAAAAGTAAGGAGAACTCAACTGAAGTTACTGAAGAGGAAAATCGCAAGAGACGATGTACACTTTTAAAGAGCAAGAGAGAAGGATCTGACTGGCTGCACAGCCAGGGAACTCAGATGCAAACTCCAAAGCAGGGAGACCAGCGAAACAGCTTTCAGAAACCTGGGCAGTGGGGATGAAGACCACATAGGTGTGAGAAAAAGGAGTGGACTGACTGGATGTGAGATATAAGGGAGACAGGAAGGGTAGACAACAGGAAGGATGGAGGAAGGAAGTTTGGGGGTGAAACCAAGGGCTCTGTTTTGCTCTGGAGACCTGTGGGAAGCCCAGGTCTGGACACTCAGGAGGGGAGGTGGTTTGGAAACCAGAGGTGGGGTTGAGACCAGTGCTATACACCTGGGTGTTCTCAACCTGGAGCTGGTGTTTCAGGCAGCAGCACGGAGAGAAAAGGAGTCCAGGGAGCTGCAGAGTGAACGGAGAAGGGGCAGCCAGGGAGGGAGGGAGGAAGCCAAGTGAAGAAAGCATTAAGGGAGCCATGGGCTGCCTTAGCTCCTACTTACCAAGCAAGTTACAATGAAGATGGAGAAAGAAAAAAGGCTCATGGGTTTGCTAAGACAGGCTGGTGGCGGCAAGAGCCATTTGTGATGAGACAAGCCGGAACCAGAGGAGAGGACTGAGAAAGGCAGGGGAGCCAGTGTGAGTTTTGCCACAACCAGAAGCCAATAAGCAGGGGTGGATAAACAGAGTGGTAGTCAGGAGCTGTTACAGGGATAAGGGAGGATCTTTTTTAAAGTCAGGATAAACTGCGCAGCACTGCTGCGTGCTGAGAGCCATGACTCGAGAGGGTAAACATGAGGATGCAGGGGAACAGGGAGCCGCAGGGGCCACAGGGAGGGGGTCTGGGATCCAGGGGACAGAAGCAGCCTGGGGAGGAGGGGGTCAGCTGCTGGGGGCAGCAAGAGGACGGGCGGAGGGAGGGGGCTGCCCACGGATGTCCAGCAGGGCTCCGCTCTCGCAGCCAGAGGCAGGGGCACACACCATCCCAGAGGGTTCCCCAGTCTCCTCTCCGCCTTGCTGTCACTGCCACATCAGACCCTGAGAGACTTGGTGGAAGCAGAGACACGGAAGAGTCTTGCCACCTGAACCTGGGGACGGCAACCATCTGCCCGAGTCAGCGCTGACTGAGAGCGTCTTACCTCTCAGCTGTGAACGTGGACTTGGCAGGCTTCTCCTCCTCGGTATCTTCACTCAGGCCCTGCAGAAACCAAAGTGCTTTCTGGTCACCTGGAGCTCTCTCAACTCCCCCCTCTCCCAGAAGGCCTGGTACCCAGGCCTGTGAGTTCTTCCAGCAGGCCCATGGCCCAGCCCCACAGGAAGGGAACCCAAGAAAGATGGGCCTACAAACTCAAGGGCCCTCACCTCTGGTATAGAGGTCGAAGGTCCAGAAAACAAACACAGGTAGAACCTGAAATGAGAAAACAAAGAGTGAGGGCTGGGCTCAGAAAGCCTTAAGGGACAAGTGAAATCCTCACCCTACCCCGCCACCAACAGATGCAAACACACCTGGGTCCCAGTGACCCATCCCAGCACTGCTCTGATCACTGGTCTGCGAGGGCCACCCCACACCCTGTCTCCTGCTGCCCGGGAGGGCCCTGACCCCCAGTACTCACTTCTTGGCTTTGGCGCTGTTGGGGTAGTCCACCACCACTCCGCCAGTGAAGCCGGCCCTGGTGGCCTGGGTGGTGATCAGCTCCAACTGGGGAGAGAATGGCAGGGAGTCAGGCAGGGCAGTGGGGTAACAGCGGCTTCCTGCCCATCCTCTGGGCCCTCATCTGGTCCCAGGACAGACCTCACCTGGGAGAACTGAAGGTCTTCTTTATTGACTATTTCCAACTCCAAGTCCCCGAAAACCACACAGGAAAAGTGCAGGCTGGAGCTAGCTACGGCAAACACCTCCCCCGGGGATCACAGAACCACCGACTCCCCCCATCATTCTTTCCAGCCCAGGGACCCACCTCCCCACTTGAATCTCGGGAAATGAATGTCCACCAACTGAGAGCCAGACTCATTCATAATACTGGTCAGGGACAGCCCGATACTTGTCCATCGGAGTTGGTACCTCCGACCCCCTCTCTGCTCATGCATCACCCTCCACAGCAGACAACTGTTAACATCCTCTCCCCCACCCCGCTTTATTTCTTCAGTTATGGAAATCAGTAATACCAAAGGGTTTGTCTGTCAAGAGAAGACAAACACCCTATCCCTCACCTGCCTCAGGTACCCCTCCCTCCTTAGGACTTAGGCCATAAAATGCGCCAGCCAGGAGGACCACTCTCAGCTCCTCCCTTCCCACCAAGCAGCCTAAGGTGGCTTGTCCTGTCACTCCCCGATAGGAGGACAGGAGAGTGAGAAGCAGAACAGTTTACCTGTTCTGGGCTCCCCCACCTCCATGCACCCCACTAGCCAAGGGGCTTACCTGCTCTGAGTTCTCGGGGTACAACTGGAGGACAGCTCGGCCTCCACTAACCTGCAACAGAAACGTGGCTGTCTCTCAAATAATCCATGGGGCCCAGACCCAGGCGCTTCCCCTTTTCTTCTTCATGAAATATTTGTTGAGTTCCCACTGTGTGCAGGGTATACCATTATTGGGGGTGGGAAAGTGCCATGAACAAGAGACAGCAACCAATGTCTGCAGCTGACATTTTAGTGGGCAAGGCAGCTAATTTACAGCAAATTAAGTGTCAAAAAGAAAAATAACTTAGAACAAGGGATAATAAGTGACAGAAACTATCCAGTTTACTTTTGGTTTTCAAGGAAGGCCTCTCTCTAAGGGGTGCTGGAGTAGAGACCTGACTGTAGTATGGAGTTGGCTACTGAAATACCTGAAGGGAGAGCATTTCAGCAGAGGGAAAAGCAAACACCAAGGTCCTCAGAACTTCAGGATTAACCCCAGAGTCTGAGCAGAGGAAAAACTACATAATGCACAAGACTAGTAAGCTATCTGCCAGAACCCACTCTAAAAAGTCAGGGGCGAGGGGAGGTAACTTAAGGGCACCAAGAAACACCTGGATCTGGAACCTCCCCAGTGGTCTAGTGACTAAGATTCTGTGCTCCCAATGCAGGGGGCGCAGATTCCATCCCTGGTCAGGAAACTATTAATAGATCCCACATGCTGCAACTAAGATCAAAGATCCTGGGTGCTGCAGCTGAGACCCAGCACAGCCAAATTTTTGATAAAAGAAAAACACTTGGATCCAAAAAAAAAAACAAAACAGATTTTTAGGACTTAGAATCTCACTCTCATCTAGTCCTAGTGAACAATGGAAATCAATGCCATCATTTCTGAAGATAAGATAAAGCTAATAAAGGCTGTCTCACTAGTAAATAACCACTCTGCTCTCCTCTCTGAGCACTGGTGGTAGGGGAAGGAAGGTGGGAGATGGGAGGATGTGAGCTCTGCAAGGTGTGGCCTCGATATGCCATCCCTGTCCTCGATCTGGGGAGTCCAGGCCCCCAAGCCAATGTGGGATTAAAATTCAGCAGCACAGACACAGCAGTTGTGATCAGTCTCAGATTCTGTCATCAGTGTCTCTGCATTTCACCGGTGTGTCGGCACCCCACCCCCTTCTTCTTTTAAGGCTGCCCACTTGGACAGAAGTAGCCGCAGTAAGGTCCCGCCATCCTCAGTGCCTCCGCCTCATCACACCACCTGCAGGACGGCGGAGGGCCGGGCAGGAGACCTCGTGACTCACCAGAACAGAGTAGAGGGACGAGAAGAAGCAGTACAGGCGCTTGGCAGGAACATCAGACTTCTTGTTAGCATTACAGAGCCACTGCACTGCAGAAATGCTGCGAGAGCAAGAGACAGCGTCGGGAAAGGGAGCGACACGCACGGCCCACCCCTGCCTCTTCACGGCCAATGCCACACTCCTCCATCTCCACATGAAACCCTCCTGGCTCACAACTCTGTTGGCACGTGCAGGTTCACCTCGGGTCACTATCTCACAACACCGGACCAAACAGGGTCTCCAGAAGGTGAGCGTGAAAGGTTTCCTTGCGCCAGTCCAAAGAAACACGTCCTCAACCTTGTTTCGCACGCATCTCAAGTTTGGCTCAGCATCACTCAGCAGGTCAAGGCTTTCCCTGCCACCTATCCCTTCATACCCGTCCTCCATTCAACAGAAATATGCTTCCGGCTTCCACAGAGCCATTCACTCTCCTCCTAAATCATTTCCTTCAACTGTACCTGCTAGGGGTCTCCACAATCCCCAGATTTAAAACCTCAAGCAGGGACTTCCCTGGAGGTCTAGTGGTTAAGAATCTGCCTGCCAGTGCAAGGGAACTGGGTTCAATCCCTGTTCCAGGAACTAAGATTCCATACGCCACGTGGCAACTAAGCCTGCGAGTCATAGGTAAATATCCTGCATGCTGCAACTAAGACCCAACACAGCAATAAATATTTTTGGTTTTTTTGCAAATAAATATTTTAAAAAGTAAAACCTCAAGCAACTAATATGCCCTCTTTTCCAGTATTCCCCTCCTCACTGCTGAGCACACACATAAAAAGAACCCCAAGCCCAGTTGGTGTGCCCAACTGCCTCTCCCAGCTTTTACTTCCTTCACCACTCTCCTGGGTCAGCATTTATTATCACTTCGATTGCTTCAACAACCTAACTTCTCTTGCATCTTCTCTCTTAATATTCCTGCAACACAGACCAAGTCTCATCACTCACCAGCGCCCCATCAACAACTACTGAATAAAAACCCAACTTCTTAGGGTGGAGTAAAAAGCTTTCTAGGAACCAAACCCACACGATCTCAGTTTCCAGGGAATTTCTCATTCATCGCTACATCAATGAGATGCCTTTTTCCCACCCACTTCTATGCCTGTGCTTACACTGCTCCTTCACTCTGAAACAGTCTCCTTTGGCTCTCCAAATCCCTTCCAGCCTTCAAAGCCCAGCCCCAGCTCCTCCTGCTCGAAGTTTTCCTGTGCTCTTATTTCTCTTCATAACTGTGGTGGGTCCCCTGACTCCCTAGTGCACACCTCACCCTGGGGCTCATGTTGAGTTGGGTTCACATCTTTTATTTTTTGGCCACACCGCACATCATGTGGGATCTTAGTTCCCCGACCATGGAGCAAACCTACAACCCCTGCAGTGGAAATGCACAGTCTAAACCACCGGACTACCAGGGAAATCCCCCAGGGTCCACATCTTATAGCACCGAAAAAACTATGGAGAGTCTTAAAAACAGTGACTTTTATTTCCATGAACTCTAAAGCACATCGGACAATTTCTTACACGTAACAAATGAGACAAAAATGCTGGGCAAACCACCTTCTCCTTTTTAAAAACAAACTAAAAATGACTGCTTACTACCGAAACACACAAGACCATATTGCTGGTCTCTGACTCTCTGCAGCTTAGAACATCTCACCTGATCATTACTAAAACACAGCTGCTATCTTTAAAACATTTTTTCTCCTCCAATCTTGTTTCCACATATATGTTAATCACTTACCCTAAAAAAACACTTAAATGCAGATTTGTACTCCTCATCCAGATTCTTACTGAGTATCCCTACAGCTCAATCTATTATCATAGGAGGCCTTTGCCCTCCCAGATAATGATTCAACTTTGACATCCTCTCCTAGCCCCTACTTCCACCCCAGCAACGAAACACTAAACCTAATACTCAACAGACCTTACCACAGAAGACCAAAAACTTCATATTTCTAACAGTAATTAGAACAAGGCCCCTAAATACCTCTTTTTTGTATGCAAAACTACTCTTATGGTTAATTTGTCCTGCAGCTTCAGGCACCAGGGTATACAAATTTCGCTGTTTTTTGTGTGTGGCAGGGTGGGGGCTGTTGAGCCTCTGGGAGCTATCTTGTGGGTCCCAGCAGCCATCTTGTGGGTCCAATGTTCTAAAATATGTTATCGAAGTACTATGTACACATTCAAAGCCTGACCCTGACTCCTCAGAGAAGACTCCTAAGCCACTGAAAAGATTGGAGCCGTGAGGGCCACTCTCCACTATAAAACTCCTTGAAAAGAAGTCAACAAAATGGCTGCTGGGGCCCACAAGATGGCTGCTAGGACCCACAAGATGGCTGCTGAGACCAACAAGATGGCTCCCAGAGGTTTAGAACCCCCACCTTGTCACACATACATAGCAGAGAAAAGTAGACACCATGGTACCCAAACCTGGCAGGACAAGTTAAGCATAGGAGTAGTTTTGTAACACAAAAAAGACGTATTTGGGGGGCCTTGCTCCGATCTAACAGACCTAAAAATCCTGGGGAATGTGTATATTTATGTATTCTGTACAACTCTGCTTTGGGAAGCACTGACCTGCAGGACTAAAAGCAGGAAATGGAGACCCTTACCTGATACAAGCATCAAAGGTGCCTGGTCTGAAGGGTATGCCCTGACCCATGTCTCCCAGAATCACATCTCCCTGCGTGTCTCGGTCCAAGGCCTCATCTACATTGGAAAAGAGTGGGTGAGGAATCAGGACAATCTGCATCACCACTCCAAACTCATGGAAGGGCGTCCACCCCAGTGCTGAACAGGGCATACTTACCCAGCATGGCAGGGCTGATGTCAATGCCCACCCAGTAGTGCCCCTCCTCTGAGAGGTAATCACCACTCAGCCCAGTGCCGCAGCTGGAAGACAAACAGACTCAACAGTGTGAGGAGCAGGGACATCCCCTCACCTAGACTGTCTGAACTGGGCCCCAGGAACTGACCCAATATCCAACACATAACAGGGCTTATCCTCAGGCACACAAAGGAGCTCCAACGCCCGCTCAGCCATCTTGGTTTGGACATCAATCATCCGCGAGCTAAAAAGCCAGAAACACAAGAAAGTGGTAAAGGGGTTCTGGGCTAAAACCTCACCCAGACCAAGAAAAGTCAAAGGAAACAATCATCCTGAGGTACTCTTTTCCAGCCAAGAAACTGGACTATGACTATTTAAAAGTGACCCCCAAAGACCATGTAATACATGTTACTCTGCTGTGACACAGATTAAACTGTACCAGCTGCAGAGCTACTATGAAGGGAACAAATCATTTACCTCATAACCCATCATTGGGTATTTTCAACCCTACCAAACTCTGACATTCTCTCACTTAAAAACATGTTTTCTAGAAGAATTAACCACTGTAGGTACTCTCATGTAGAATGGTCAACAATGCACAATAAAAATTATAACAGTGCTCTCCATGAGAAATATAACACAAGCCACTCGGGACATTCTTGAGGACCCATTTAAAAAGAAACTAAATACATAAAGTTAACTGTAGTAATCCTTAACCTAACCCAATATATGCAATATTATACTTTAACCCAGTATGCTCAAAACATCATTTTTGCTGACCCTAGTATTCTAATCAGAACAAAAAAGACAAAACAGATTATTAGTATCTGCAGAACTTTTTTTACAGAATACTGTTTACGGAAAGAATAGGTTTGGAAGTACTTGCCCTGGCCCTCAGCTGTTAACTAGCTTCATTAATTACACATACAACTACCCTCTCTTAAATTCAGATACTCTACCAACAGCAGTCCCGAGACTTACTGAGATACTGTAAACTGGGACATACAGTAAACATTCTACGGATATTATTTCTCGCCGCCCCCCCCCCCCCGCCCCGCCAAACAGCACTGATGGTTTACACACAACCACTGCGTCCTATCTAATTCTTCGCATGTTTAAAATAAACTGTCACCTTAAACCAAGGAGGTATAATCACTCCCATTCTGATACTCAGATTACCGAGACCCAGAGATCTGGAGGTTTACTCAAGAGTTTACTTCGACGGTGTCAACAATGGATTAACTCAAGTCTCTTCCTTCCGCCACCCCCAAATTCTGCGTGCTTTCCAAGCAACCTCCGCGTTCAGGGCAACTTGCCGGTTCCCGATTCCCGACACCCTGCAACAAACATCCAGGCTTCCCTTACTTGCGCACGTATTTCCGGGCTTCATTCTTGTCGTAATACTGCAAGAACGAGAAAAAAAATGGGGGAAGTCTGGTAAGATATCAAGACGCGGACGCCCTAATAGAAAACACAGAGAGGGTGGTCACAGCCCTCACCAGCTCCGGGGGCCCGCGGAGCTCAGGTCTCCGCCCGCGAGAAGCCATCACCACGCCTTAGCAGCAGAACTCGTGCAAGTGACTCCGGGGCCCGGTTTTTATGTCATCAGCCGGGCGCCCGCCCCGTAATACGCATGCTCCACCCCCTCTCCCCGCCTTCTCGTTTACTCGATTGGCTACAGGGCCGACCGGCTGCGAAAAACGCACGTCTCCCATTGGCCAGTTCATCTTGCACCGCCCGCCAGATTCACTCAAGATGGCAGCCCGGCGCGACCTGAGGTGGTCGCGACTGTTACTGTGGAGATTGTGGCAGCCCCGGGGGGTTCCACAAAACCCGAGATCGGGCCTGGGCCCAGACGTGAGGACTTACACCCGGAGCGACGGCCCGTACTCACGCACGGCGCTCTATGATCTGCTCGGCGTTTCCCCCACGGCCACGCAGGCGCAAATCAAGGCGGCTTACTACCGGCAGAGCTTCCTCTACCATCCGGACCGCAACTCGGGGAGCGCTGAGGCTGCCGAGCGCTTCACGCGCATCTCCCAGGCTTACGTGGTGCTGGGCAGTACCACCTTGCGTCGCAAGTATGACCGCGGCCTGCTGAGCGACGAGGACCTGCGCGGTCCGGGCGTCCGGCCTTCCAAGACGCCCGCCGCCGACCCCGAGAAGCCCCGTACCCCTCCGCCCGGCCCTCGGGCCCCCGGCCGCGGTCCGGCCTCGCCGGGAGCCAAGCGCACCATGTTCGACTTTGACGCCTTCTACCAGGCGCACTACGGTGAGCAGCTGGAGCGCGAACGGCGCCTGAGGGCGCGCCGGGAGGCCTTCCGCAAGATGCAGGAGGACCGGGCCAAGAAGGGCTTACGCTGGGACGAGACCCGAGACTTGGCTTTCGTTCTCGTTCTGCTCACCGTTTTCCTCATCGTGAGCTCTCGTATTTAATCACAGAGTGGAGGGCAGGGGAGCAGCCCCCAGCCAACACCCTCCCGACCCCCTCCCCCAGGAAAATGGCCTTGCGTGTCATCTTGAACCCCTTGCCTCCCATTGTCTACCTCTGCTGGGGCCCGAAGGAACTGCTCTTCCCCTTCTGTTCCACACGTGGCCAGCTTAGGCATTGACCTGCGCGTCCCTAGCCCCACCCCGCTCCAGAAAAGGAGGTTTTTTTGATGCTCAAGAAAACAGGTCCCTCATGAAGAGTCCTGAAGGCCCGAGAGTGAGGGGTTTTCTGGACGCCCTGGGGTGCCTGCTTCCAGATGTTGTTAACTTCCGGAACACTTGCTCTGGCTTTCTTGTAAAGCTCCAGGCGAGACTCGTCTTCCCCTGCCCCATGTGTGTAGTGTGGGCCTCCTGTGTAACCTTGAAACGTGCAATGTGACCAGTTGTGACTGCCAAAACAAACAAATCTGGGGTCTTAGGAAACTTGCCTTTTTGTGAGTTCCCCAAGCCACAGGTGAGACCCGATGTAGGGTAAAGATGTGATCCGTGGGAACTTGGCCATTCTTGGGTAGTCAGATCCTACTCCACCTTCTGTTGGTGGCCTCTGGGAGAGGGAAAGAAAGCAAGGTCATGAGCCTTCCTGTGCCCATACTTATAGAATATATATGATCTTGTAGAAATTCATCTGTGGACATGATGGCTGGGGAGCAAATTGTTTGCTCTTTCGAGATCTGTCATACTTGATTATCCATGTTCTAGTAGGCTCAGTGATTAAAATATTGATGTCGGTAGAGCCAGATTTATCCTTGAGACAGTGTGCCTGGCATCTGGTCATCCCTTGACCAGCCAGCCTCATTGCTAACTGTGCAGCTTCTCCCTAGAAAGAGAGCAACAAAAGCAGAGGTAAGAGTCGCCTGAGAGTGGCCCAGCCTCCCATTCTGCTCGTAATGCTTATCGCAGGCCCCACAAGCCAAGTCCTTGAAACATGGCTACTTGAGGCTGTGGGAACTGGGGGAGTTTGAGTAAACAAGATTATTGAGGGAGAGGAGGGACATGTAGAAATGCACTTCCTTATTCAGAGCTGACTGACTGAGGCCTTTTTTTCTTTTTGGCTGCACAGCTCAGGCATGCGGGATCTTAGTTCCCCAACCAGGGATCGAACCTATGCCCCCATCTCAACCACTGGATCCCCAGAGAAGTCCCTCCCCCCACCTTTTTTTCCCCTCCTCTGTTCCTAGCTGGTGCTAAACAAGTGGGTGATCACTTGCTAGAGCTGTTGTAATCCTGCCCTCTTAACCCTGAATCTCTGCACACAGGGTGTGGATTAGCTGTGAAATGGTAGGAACTCAAGTGTGTATGCACTGTTGAGTGGAAAGCTATGGGATAGGAAAATCTGTGCAGGAGACCTACTACAAGAGTCAGAACCTAAGTCTAGCTTCTAAACAAGGCCAGAGGTGCTTTGCTATATTAACACTAATTCCTGCACTCAGTCTTTTGTTTGCAATTCTTGTATAAGTTGGGGATAAACCCATAGCTGGTTCAACTTGGTCTTTTCTCTAGCTTTGGAGTTTGGGGACAAGTTCTTTGGCATGGCTTTGCAGTGACCCATGTAATTCAGTGGTAAGGCTTTATGCTCTTTCTGGTTCAGACCTGCTGGGCTCAGCAAGCCTTGGTTTGAAGGGAGGGGCATGTGTACTTTTTAAAAGAACATTTAATGTTATTATGTTTCATATTTGGAAAACAAGGTGGGGAAAGTCTGTTCTCAAAGCACAAACAACAGGAAGTGAAGCTTAGTGAAAGGTACAGAGACTGGCAATTCTCAACCAGAGTTGGGACAGAACAGTCTGTGAGGCAAGATTTCATCCAAATTTTGATCAAATGGGGTTGGGGTTCTTTGGGGTTTTGTTGTAAAGGCATTAATGGTCTGTGATGTCCAGGGCCTTTCTCATTGACTCTGACATATACCTCTCAAGTTTGTTTTCTGTGGGTGAAGATCACAGATGAAAATATTCCCTAGGGGCCCCAGAACATGGAGATGGATAGAAAATTCCAGAAGGTTTGGGGTGATGGGTCCAGACTCTGTGAAACCTCTGGAACATTCCATGCAACTCCAAACAGGGCAGTCAATAAAATTTATTAACCATCCAACTCTGAGCCTCTTCTTAGGCCTAGAACTAGGCGCCCCCTCTATTCTCTCTAGTGCCGGCTTGCCTGTTGGGGTTTTTTAGGCCAGAGCTGAACTCAGACACCACTCCCTACTATCCCTGAAACAGTCTGGGCTCATCATGGGCAAGGAGGTGTGTGGGAGGGTTTCTGAAGGACCCTCCCGGTGCTCATTCCTTTACACCATTTCTCTTCCCCCGCCCCCACCCTGCGTCTGTCCATTCTCAGCTTCTTATCTGCCCTCGGGAGGAGAGGCTGAACCAGGCCGTGGACATTAGTCCCTGTCTTTCAGGGGCTGCTCCTGTGTTCCTGAGACATGGTCAGCTTTAGTCCCTTTTCTCCTTTTGGTCACAAACTAAAAAGAAGTTTGAACTGAGGAAGAGAGACTGGGACAAGAGGGGTCCAGCTTGCTTCAGGCTGCGCTCATTGGGGTGGGCAAGGGGTGTCGTTCAGTACCAGGCCCAGTGAGATGCATTCAGAGATCCTAAATGGAGAGACTGAACGAGTAGACCAGAATCAAAGGTGTGCATGTCTAGGCAATTGTGATACTGCCTTTGGGCTTAATCAGGACTTTATTCCTCCTGAGCCAAACTTTTCCCCTCCGTTGTCCTGTGAAAAGATCCTTTACACATCCCAGTGCTAAAGGAGTAAGAGTTCTTGCTTCCCTCTGAAGTTCTGGCATTTCTTTCTCTGGGGGCACCTTGCCTTCTGTAAATGGTCCCAGCATGAGCCAAGATGAAGAATAGCCTACCTTAGGCCAGCGAGTTGTCCGTTGGTCATCACTGACCCTGTATATATCTCCATCCCTTATAGCCACAGCCCGAAGCTGAGACACCAAGGGTGGAGCCCAAGTGAGTGGCCACCACACCCACTTTGGGGAAAATGGCGAGGAGGAGGGGTCTTGTCTCGGGCCTTTGGGCGTCCTGGAAAGTCATCAGATCCCGTGAAGAGAGACTGAGAGAAGGGAAGCCGGTAAGTGGCAGGGTTACTTCAGTCCCCTCTTGGAGTCCAATGTTCTCTTGTGGCCTTTGCCCCGTCGGCTCCTCCGCCCTGTGATGGATGTGGTCACCTTATCACCAGCCTCTGAGTGGGACTGTGGAATGCCCGCCTCATCTGCCTTCAGTGGCCTGGCTCTCAGCCAGCCTTGGAGCCCTGGCGACCATGGGGTTTGTGCAAAGCAGCTGAGGGTCCCTCTGTCAGTTTTAGGATGATAGCAATACCTGAGTCTGGATGTCATGCACTTGTGTATGCCGGGGGTGCTCAGCGTGCTTATCCCCCAGAAGCGCCCCTTCACCATCGGTCGTAAGATTATAGTATCACAATGGATCCAGCCATCTCACCAGTGTCTCTTAAGGCTGTCTCAGCTTGGGGCCCGGTTGCTAGTCTTGAGAGAGGTCAGCCCTCCCATTGTGCCTTTGTCCCTTCAGCGTTCACACTCTTGGTCCTGGGAGGGGCTGCCACTAGACCAAAGAAGGCCTGTTTCAGGAGAACCAAGAACTGACCCAGATTTGTGTTTCACAGGCCACAGCCAACCTGCACATAGCGTTTGGTTGTGGCTGGCACAGTGTCTTAACTTTAGCCAACTTTAAGAACTTGGAAGACTTTGCATAAAAACCTAGATTTCTAACTTCGCTCCAAAAAATGAGAAAATTCCACCATTAAGCTTCCTCCCATACCTGCATGACCGCCTGGGAAAAGCTGTCAGGTCTGCCTTGTAGATAAGTCCTTCCTCCCCAGGCTGCTGCACTCTGACCAGCAAAGGGGATGTGTCAGAAGCCAATGCACACACTTGCACCATTTTGCTCTTAGTAAAGAAGTCTCTCTGTATTCCATGTCTATAAAGAGGGAAAACAGACAAAAGGGGGTCTTGCATTTCCAGGAAAATAGTGGAGGTGTACTTTGTGGAAACGGAGCTGTTTGGCACTGTGACCTTTCTGGCCCCTCCAGGCGTTTGAGGTCGCAGATCCCTAGATAACCTCCTGTGTTCTAAGATCTCACACTTTGACTGGGAGGCAGAGTGTAAATCTTATTTTCTGTGGAACAAGAAGAATCTCTTGAGAGGCCTATCACAGGGGCAAGGTCCCAGACAAAGCCAGAGGTCCCTTGGTACAATAATGCCATTCCCGCACTCGATCTTTCATGTAAAATCCTTGTATAAATTGGGATAAACCCTCAGCTAGTCCAACTTGGTCTCTCTGAAACCACTGGATTCTCTCTAGCCTTGGAGGTCAAGGGCAGTTTCTTAGCCATGGCTTTGCAGTGACCACACAACTCAGGGGTAAAGATTTGAGCTCACTGTGGTTCAGGCCTGATTAGCTCAGTGAGCCTTGATTCACGCACGCACAGACGCGAAGTTACATGCAGTGTTTCATACTTGGAAGACAAAGTAGGAGGCTTAAGAAAGGACACAGAAGCTAGTGATTTCCAAACAAGGAGATGCACATAACAGACTTCTGAGGGACAGGAACACATTATGTTTATAAAAAAGGGGTGGGAGTTTTGTTACTGGGGCGATTTGGGGGTTTTGGTTTGTAAATGCACCGGTGGTCTGTAATAGAGCTTTTGTCATGGGCCCCTTGATGTAGCCCCTCAAGTTTATTCTCTCTCACAGGATTACAGCCAAGAACATTCCCTGGTACCCCAGAACCTAGAAAGTTCCGGAAGTGATCTGGCAGGAGAGCCCAGACTGCCTGGAACTTTCCAGAACATTCCATTTTCCTTCAAGCAGAGAGGCTAATAAAGCTTATTAACCATCCAACTCTAAGCCTTTCCGTGGCCCGGAACTAGGTCCACTCCACTCTGGCAGCATCTGTACCCACCTCCCTCAGGTCTTTGGTCTTTTTCTTGCCGGGGCTGAATCCTGAGGGGCGTCACTCCCTGTGCTCTCTGAAACTGAGCTCTTTGGGGAAGGGGAGGGGTGTGGAAGGCCTTTTGAAGGCCCCCCACCTGGTTCCCATGGTAACACTCTTCTCCCTTTCTAGTCCCACCCTTGCCTGGTCATTCCTCTTACCTGCCCTGGGGAGGGGAGGCTGAACCCGATTGTGGACTTGAGCCTCTGCCCAGCTCACAATAGTGGAGGGAGGCTCAGGCATTCCCCATCCTTAGCTCTTCTTCCTGTGGTTACAGACCTGGAAAAACACCCTGGAAGCACGGGCCAGGATCGGGAGGGCAGGGTGAGAGGGGCTCAGCCTGCCCCAGGCCGTGCTGAGAATGCAGACGTTCTTCCAAGGCTGCTCGGTCTTCTGTCTGTTGTCTGAGGCAGGAACTAGGTGTCCTCTTGGCACCCCTCACCGCCAGCAGCTCAAGTACTAGCAGGGAGGAGCAGGAGAACCGAGGCCACCATGGGACGGAGCATCTCCAGTGGGCACTGGCAGGGCTTTGCCCTGCTGGGAGGGATCTGACTGGACTTGAGGGGCTGTCAGAAGCTCAATGGGCCAGTCTGTCTAACTATTGCCTACATTTCTAAAGATCCCATCAGAGGAATTCCCTGGCAGTCCAGTGGTTAGGACTGTACACTTCCATTGCTGGGCACCTGGTTTCAATCCATGGTCATGGACTGAGATTCCCCGAGCTGCACCGTGTAACAAAAAAAAAAAAAAAAACCCAAAACAAAGTTATTAAAACACAAGATCCCATCAGGCAGTCAGTCAGGTGCTCCTCAGACAGCTTGAGGAATGGGGACCACTGCCTCTAGTAGCAGCTGTGATTCTAGAGCCTCATTCTAGCCTCGAAATCTGACTCCCTGTGGTTTCCACCCACTGGTCCTGACTCTGACCTCTGGCTCTATGTGAAGCAGCCCTTCAGTCTCAAAGGCTCCCTGTATGTCAGACGGATCCCTCCGCTGTTCTGCAGGGGACTCGGCCCCAGTCCTTTTCTCTCGTTATCGTTACTCCAAAGGTGGGCTTCCCTCGTGGCTCCGACAGTAAAGAATCTGTCTGTGCGGCAGGAGACCTGGGTTCAGTCCCTAGGTCGGGAAGGTTCCCTGGGGGATGGCATGGCAACCCACTGCAGTATTCTTGCCTGGAGAATGCCATGGACAGAGATACCTCGCGGGCTGCAGTCCACGGGATTGCAAAGACCACACACAGCTGGGCGACTGACACCCTCCCTTTATCAGAGGTGCCGCTGCTGTGGGGTTCCCTTAGAATTTAAAACTTCAGCAAGAAGCAGAGCCAACCCAGCACTTGCCTCGGTCCGACGGCTACTTCCCTACTAACGTGGACCGAGGTCACAGTAGCTTCCACAGCACTCGGACTTCCCTCACTTTGGCAGGACCTTCCTGCCAAACTTAATCTCATCAAACTTGAACTCAGCTGATCCAAGACATGTTCCTGCTCTCCCATCTGCTTGTCCCACCGTCATCAGCCAAGCTGGAGACAGGTAGCTTCAGCCTTATAGAAGCCTCTCCGTCACTCGGTGGGGGTGGGCATTTGACAGCCCAGGTGCCATCCTGATGGGGCCTACAGGGCACCCAGGAAAAGAGAGACCGGTAAGGCCCTTAGAGAACTGTGACGGGGCAGAGTGTGCTTCTGTCCAGAAGAGCTGGGAAGTGAAGAGTTAGAAAAGACTCTCTGGGGTTGGTAACCAGAGAAGGTTTCATGAAAGAGGCAGAAGCAGTGCTGGACCCAAAGGACAGCTGGGCTTTGGATGGGCAGAGAGGAAGGGAGGGCCTCGCACGAGTAGGCAGCTCAGGAGCTGAGATGAGGCTGCAGCAGCTGAGAGGCCGGGTGAGGGGTGAGAGAGGAGTCGGGCAGCATTGTCATCCTCATCATCACATTTATTGACGGCCCCTGGGAGGCGGGGCTGGGGACAGAACATACAAAGACAAGGACCTGCCCTCAAAAAGCTTCCATTCTAAGGAGACGGGACAGAAAAATACAGAATGGTCTTTCCGGGGGATGGCCCACTCTCACCCCTGCAGGTCAGAAGCCCCTGGCCTACCTCGCCCCAGGGTCTGGAGCCTGAGCGGGGCAGGTAGTAGCAGCCCCATGGCCATGGTGTCCCTGCCCCCACCTCTGGGGCCTGACCCCCTGGCTTCTAGGTGGTGGACCCCAGCACTGGGGGAAAGGTAGGCTGAGGACATGATGGAAAACACTCCGGTCAGCCGTGGCATTGTGCGAGCCCAGTGGAGGGGCAGGGGCGGTAGGGCCCCTAGGCAGGGCCCCTTGAGGGAAGCGGGCAACTTCCCAGGCCCCCATGAGTCAAGTTCTTGCCCTGGGGCTGGCCTGTCACCCGGGAGGCCCCAGCCGGGGAGAAAAAAAAAGGCAGAGATTCCTCAGCGCCAGAGGCATCAGACCCTGCCCACCCCACCCCCAGCCCTCTCTCTGGGCATCTCCCAGTGGACCCTCCTCCCCAGCTCAGCCTCCAGGGCCAGGGCCTGCCTAGGGCCAGGGGGAGGGGCCTGCCCCTCCCCCCACCCAGGCAGTGGGGGAGGAGGAGGAGCCACGCATCAAGTTTGTCTGGGCCCCCCATGGGGGGGCCATACCCTGGATCCTACCGGTGGGGGGGCTCTGGCTGCGAGGGCCGAGGGCTCAGCAGAGGGGCTGGGCCCAGGGGGCACCCGGGGGAGCCCTTCAGTGGGGGCACTGGGCGGGAGTCCAAGGGGGGCAGGCTCCGGGGCACTGCCGGCGGCCCCCGGGCAGCCCCAGTGGGCAGGACTGCAGCAGCGGGGAAGGACTTGGGGGGCTCTGCGGCAGCCGTGGGGGCCGGCTGCCCCGACCGCTCCCGGCGCCGCAGCAGCTCCTGCAGCTTCTCCGCCTGGGTCCGCCTCAGGTGGGCCAGGGCCCGGCCTCGCTGGAAGGCGGGCAGGAAGGCCTCCAGGCTCTGCTCCCCCAGCAGCAGCTGCTCCATCTGCTCCTGGGACAGGGCGGAAGGGACAGTTTAGGAGGACCACGACCGAAGGCTCAGGGCTGGTCCTCTCAGCCCCATCCTGAATGCCTCTCGATCACGGCCCCCGCCCCAGTCGGGGATGGGGCACTGAGTTCTAGCCTCGCCTGCCCCTCGCTGAGTGACTGTGGACCAAGTCTTCTCAAGCCTTGATTTCCTCACGATCACCAGACCTGCTGGGGCAGGGACGAGGGGGTCCAGAGATGGGGACACACCTGAAGTGCACAGGTGTCCATCTCCTCCAGGCCAGGGCCCTCCGGCTCCACCCCTCCACACGCTGAGCACAATGCTCCCACCCACTATGCTGGGACGACTGCCCCAGCTCCTCTGTGGCCCCAGCCTAAGCTGCCTGGAGACGGTCACAGGAAGCCGGGGGAAAGTCACAGGTGGGGACGGTGGGCCTGTGTCCAGTGCGGACAGCAATTCAGCAGGCCCTCCTGGGGCCCAGGCACTCAGGGCAGGCTTCCTGGAAGAGGGGCCCTCACGACTGCAATGTAAGAATCAAGGGGAGGGGACGATGATAGGTTGAGCTCCCCCTCGGAGTCCCCAGGCCCAGCCACCCCCTCCTCTCACCTCAGCCTCCTGCTCAGCTTCTTCCAGCTCAGCCTGCAGCCAGCCCAGCGCGCAGTGGGGGCTCCAGCGGTGCATGCTCTCCTCTGAGGGCCGCAGAGGGACGCAGTGAATAGCCCCTGCCCTCAGGGCCTGTCACCCTGGACAGACAGGCCGGAGCCCCGGGGCCCGCTGCTGACTCTCTCCCTGACCGTCTGTGTGACTCTACGCTTTCCCTCCCCTCTCTGGAGCCTCAGTTTCCTCACCTGCACAACACCCCGCGGCATCAGTTTGTGTGCCCACACCCTCCCATCCTAGTGCAAAAGGGGAAGCAGGGGCTCTGTCTCCCAGAGCACCCCAGGCCCTTGGGCAGCGGGTCCCTTCTCCCAGGGCCCCATTCTGGCCTCTCCAACCCAGCTCTACTCACCAACTGCTCACTTTCCCAACATGGGAATTGCCCAGGAGTAGCACCCCTGCAAACTTGCCCGAAGAAGAGGTGCGCCCAAGTTCCCCAGCCTTCAGAGCCGGGCACTGAACCCCGCCCCCCCCCCCCCCACACCGCTCCCCGGGCAGTTCTCCTGGCCGTCCCTCACCCAGGCGCTGCAGCTTGTCTGCACAGCTCTCGGCCACCTCCCGGAGCTCCTGGTACTTGATGGCCAGGGCAGTGCGGCCCATCTCCAGGCGGGGACGCAGCGCCAGATTCTCCTTGGCTAGCGCGTAGTTAGAAGCCAGGCATGCCTCGCGCTCCAGCTGCAGGCCTTGGAACTGCCGGCGGGGAAGAGCCCAGAGGCCCATTCAGGGACTCTCCCCACGGCCGCCGGCCGCCACCCCCACGCAGGCGGCAGTGCCCCCGGGCCAAGCAGAAGGCGCCCAAACCTCAGGATGGCGAGCCAACAGGTGGAGGAGCTGGGAGAGCCCAGACCCCACTTTGCCTCGGTTTCCTAGTCCACAAAGTGAGCTAAAAACGTCTCCCTTATAGGGTTGTTGGGAGACTGAAGTGAGGAAAACTATGAAGGTCTCTACAAATGTTAGTTAATTTTTAATTTTTCAATTAATATGTCTGCTCAGGTCCCCAAGGAGCCCCCCTCCCTCCTCTGTCCCATTTTCCATGCATGGGCAGCTTCCCCCTCATCCCAGGCCTTTGTCTGCTTCCTCTTCAGGTGTTTGTGCTGAAAACACTCCCCATCCCCTGCTCCGACTCTCCAGAGTGAGGTGTTCACCCTGTCCCTGTCTGGCACCCCCCCCTCACACACACACCCCCCTCGCACCCCTCCTCTGCCCTCCAGTGGAATCCCCACACCCCAAGGAATACACACCCCCTTTTCCTCCCCGATCCCCTAGCACCTGCTCCCAGCTCTCCTTCTCTTGCGGATAACAGACCCCTTTCTTTCCTGGCCCTGGAGAAGGCTTTTTCCTTGTTACTAGGCGGGCCAAGCCTCCCCTCCCTGCCCCTGGAGAACGCACTACCCTCCATCTGTCCCCTATAGGATGCACATGGCCCTCCCGCCTGCCTCCCTCCAATGTACACTTTCCCTTTCCGCCCCCCACAGACAACCAGCCCGGGCCTATCTCCTGTGAAATATACAACTTTCTCTCATGGTGGCCTATGGAACACACACCTCAGCTTTCAGTACCCCTCCCCAACGGAAAACACAAAGCCCCCTCTTGCACCCCCAGCATACGGACACCCTCTCAACGGTCCCCCCAGGTGTCAAACAGGCCCCTAGTTCTCCCTGTGGAAGGCGCCTCCCCTTTCTGGCCCTACAGAACGTGGGTGTGCGAGCCAGGGCCCCCCACAACACAGCCGCCCCCCAGAACACACCTCCCTGGAGCATCCGCCGTAGGACACGCCTCGCGGCCATCCCGGGGGTGCACGGGCGCCTCCCTGGGTCTCCGGCGCGCCCCACCCGCCCCAGGCCACCTCCGGGCGCCCCCTCCCCCGGGGGCGGCTCCACCGGGCCCACTCGTACGTGCCAGGCTCCGCCGGCCCCGCGACCCGGCCAGCGCGGCCCTTCGGTCGGTCGGCAGGTCCGACAGGCCGCGGCCCGTCCCCCGCGCCCCCCGCCCGCGCCCCCCATGCTACCTTCCTGCTGAGCCGCACGATCCGGTCCAGCTTGGGCTCATCCTGAAGCAGGTCCCGGAGCTGCCCGGTGCTGAGGATCCCAAAGCGCCCCGGGCTGCCGGGCTCCGGCCCCGCCCGCGCCGCCCGGGCCCGGTACATGCCGCCCGCCCGCGCCCCCAGCTCGGCTGCTGGCTCGGCCCGCTCGGCCCGCTCCGCCCCGGCTCCGCTCCGCTCCGGCTCCGGCTCCGGGATCCGGCTCGGGCTCGGTCTCCGGCGGCGCGCGGCGCTCCGCCGCCAGAGGGCGCCCCGCCCGCTCTTAAAGGGGCCGCGGCGTGGAGGCTGGGGGTGGGGTGCGGAGGGGGCGGGCCGCACCCCTTTCCACCCCGGTGGCGCCGCGCCTCCCGCACCCGCGGATCGCCTGGCAACCCATCATCCTTCCGCCGTCTGGATCTCTAGGGCCGCCTCTCTCCGCTCCCCTTCTCTCGGCTTTCAGTCACCACGCCCCCAGGCACGGACTCTCCCATCCCAGGCGTTTACAGGTTGCAAGGCTGTTTCACATTTACCCCTTGAATTCGCACAATTTTCTGAATTTGTCCAGGCTCCAGGAGCCCCTGTGCTCCTGATAACTTGGCTAAGTCATTCACCACCCCCAGCCTCAGTTTTCCCTTCTACAAAATGGGGTAATGATACACTAAGTGAGGATAAGAGGCAGTGAATGTTGAGTCCCTTGTTGTTTTAGTCGCTAAGTCCTGTCGGACTTTTTGGCGAAGCCATAGACTGTAACCCGCCAGGCTCTTCAGTCCATGGGATTTCTCAGGCAAGAATACTGGAGTGGGTTGCCATTTCCTTCTCCAAGGGATCTTCCCAAGCCAGGGATCAAACCCTCGCCTCCTGCTTTGGCAGGTGGATTCTTTACCACTGAGCCACCAGGAAAGCCCGTAGAGTCTCTTACCTGTAGTTAAATTATGAATTATTGTTATTTCAGAGATGAAGATACAGATTCTCAGAGATGGTGTCACCTGCCCAAAATCACGTTCCAGGTAAAGGACAGACAATCTCAGTTCTTCCTGTATATGCAGGTCCTCAATCCAGCCAGAGGACAGATGGCATGCTGGAGATGTCTGAAAAAGAGACAGAACTGATGGAATGGGGCGGGACAAGCTTGCTGATGCACTGTGAAGGCAACGCTTTGTCCACATTTTTCAAAACATTTATTTTTATTTATTTATTTGACTGTGTTGGGTCTTACTTGCCACATGTGGGATCTTTTTTTGTTGTGGCATGTGGAAGCTAGTTCCCTGACCAGGGAATGAGCCTGGACCACCTGCATTGGGAGTGCAGAGTCTTAGCCACTGGACCACCAGGGGAGTCCCCTTCTTCCACATTTTTATGATAACTGAAATTTGGTTTTCCTTTTCCAGACTTAGTTGGAACATCACCTCCTCCAGGAAACCCTCTTTACCTCCCGAGGCCACGTTGTGTGCCTGCTGTCCCTCCATCAGGATCCTGGGTATTATCAAGAGCCCTTCCACATTTCCCAGCTTCCTGGTTATGAGCTCCTTGGTTCTGCTGTGCATCCTCCAGACCCACTATTTCCACCGTTCTTTCAGGGGTCTCCTAGACATTCCCTCCTGTCTGGCCCACCTTTGGCCCCTCCTCCAGGCTTTTTTCACCTTGGTGAGATCTGATGGGAGCTCTTCCCCCAGCTTGTCCCTCTTTGTCACCAACCCCTCTTTGTTCTACACCCGCCTCAATACCCTTCCTTCCCTCTCATCTCAGGAAGAGAAACCTCCCCTCATTCCAAAGCCAATTAAGTACCCTTGCTATGGGTCTCACCTTCACCTGCCTCCTCTGAGAGGCTTCCCCCACTGTGGTTAGTTATGTCTCTCTCTTTTAAAAAAAAATATTTATTTACTTATTTAGTTGGCTGCATCAGGTCTTAGTTGGAATGGGTGGAATCTTTGTTGCTACAGCACAGTCTTTCATTGCAGTGCACAGACTCTAGTTGTTGCATGAAGGCTCAGTACTTGGGGCACGCTGAGTTGCTCCAAGGTATGTGGAATCTTAGCTCCTGGACCTGGGATCCGACCTGTGTCCCCTGCATAGCAAGACGGATTCTTTTTTTAATTAATATGTTTACAAAATATTTATTAAGCTCTGCTGGTCTTAGATATGGCATACACGATATACAATCTTTCAGTTGCGGTATTTGAACTCTTAGTTGTGGCATGCGGGACCTAGTTTCCTGACCAGGGATTGAACCCCGGGCCCCCTGCATTGGGAGTGTGAAGTCTAAGCCACTGGATCACCAGGAAGTTCATATGTCTCTCTCTTCTTCTGTCTCTTTCATGTTTAATTTCTGCCTTTAGACTGATACCTCCCTTTCACCCCCACCCAATATTTTGAAAGTACCTGGTTATGAACTGAGTGTGTGTGCTCAGTCGTGTCCAACTCTGTGCGACCCCATGGACTGTAGCCTGCCAGGCTCCTCTGTCCATGGGATTTCCCAGGCAAGAATACTGGAGTGGGTTGCCATTTCCTTCTCTCTATGAACTGAGTACCCCTCCCCGCCCCAGTTGATATTTTGAAATCCTAGCCTCCAATGTGATGATATTTGGAGGTGGGGTTTTGGGAGGTAAGTTTAGATGAGGTCATAAGAGTGGGTTCCCATGATGGGATTAGTGTCCTTCTAAGAAGAGGAAGAGACCAAAGTTTTTTCTCTCTCCACCATATGAGGTCACAGTTAGAAGGCCACCGTCCGCGAATCAGGAAAAGAACCCTTACCAGAAGCCAAATCTGCCGGCACCTTGATCTTGGGCTTCTCGGCCCCCAGAATTATGAGAGATAGGTATCTTTTGTTTCAGCCACATGGCGTGTGGTATTTTGTTGTGACAGTCCAAGCCGACTAACATACCGTCGACACCCTGCACTCCGTGCATCCGTTTCCTCATCAGCATGCGTGTGTGCTCAGTTGTGTCTACCCCTTTGCAACCCCATGGATTGTATCCCGCCAGGTTCCTCTGTCCGTGGACTTCTCCAGGCAAGAAAACTGGAGTGGGTTGCTATTTCCTGCTCCAGGGGATCTTCCCCATCTAGGGACTGATGCCATGCCTCCTGCATCAGCAGGTGGATTCTTTACCACTGAGCCAGCTGAGCAGCCCCCATTTCCTCATACCTCCCCTTATTCCTTGACTCAGTCTGACTTCACCCCACTGCCACTTCAAGGGCTTCTGACTTCCAGAGCCCTTCTTTCTCACATTCAAAACCATCGACCACCATCTCTTTCTTGACCACATAGCAGTCAGAGTCCAGACATTTCCCAAGTGTTAAGTTGGCAAAAATTTAAAAGTCAGGTAATATCAAGTGTTGGTGAGGTTGGGAAGTGACAGGAATGCTTACATACTGCTAGTGGGAGAGAGAATCAATTCACTGGAGAGCAATTTGACAAACTCATAAAGAACATTCAATGTGCAGTGGACAGAGTAATAGACCCCAAAGTTAGCCACGTCCTCATCCCTGGGACCTGTGGATATGTCACCTTCCATGGTGAAAAGAACTTTGCAGCTGTGATTAAATCAATGATCTTGTGATGCAGAGAGTATGCTGGATCACCCAGGTGGGCTCAGAGTAATCAGAGTGGTTCTTAGAAGGGGGTAGGCAGGAAGGTCAGAATCAGAGAAGATACAATAAAATTGGAGTGTCGAAGTCACTGAGAAACTTGAAGACAGTATGTTTCTGGCTTTGAAGACGGAGGAAGAAGTTACAAGCAGGCAGCCTCTGGAAACTGGAAAAGGCAAGGAAGTGGGTTCTCCCTGAGAGATGCTAGAGGGGGTGCACCCCTGCCAATATCTTGACTTCAGTCCAGGGAAACCCATTACAGACTCCTGACATCTGGACTGTAAGAGAATACGTCTGTGTTGTTGGGACTACCCTGATGGTCCAGTGGCTGGGACTCTCTGCTCCCAATGCAGGGGGCCCAGGTTTGATCCCTGGTCAGGGAACTAGATCCCACATGCCACAACTAAGAGTTCACATGCTGCAACTTACTTCCTGCATGCCGAAACGAAGATTCAAGATCACACATTCTGCAACTAAGACCCAGGACAGCCAAATAAATAATGAATAAACAAATAATGTGTGTTGTTTTAAGGCACAAATTTGGCAATTTGTTATAGTAGCAATTAGCAGCTAATACAGACTTCTCGGAACGTTCACTGCCTTGGACCAGAAGACAAGAACAGGAATGTTTGCGGTGACTCTATTTGTAATAACAAGAAGCTAGAAAAAGCCCAAATGTCCAGGGCAATGGAACACTTCATACTACACACCGAAATGGGCAGATTGCAGCTACATATGTCAATTTGGTTGGATCTTACAAACAATACGGAGAATAAAGGCAGCAGTCTCAGAAGAGTACATTCAGTATAATAATGTTTATGTAAAGTTTAGAAACATGCAGAGCCATACTTCATATTGTTTGGAGATATGTACAAAGTACAGGAACAATAAATACCAAATTCAGCAGTGTGGCGGTCTGGCAGAAGAGGGGTGGAATCGAGGAGGCAACAGAAACAACTTCAATGGCTTTAAGAGATAGTTCAGGGGTTTCCCTGGCAGTCCAGTGGTTAAGACTCCATGCTGCCAATGCAGGCGCTGTGGGTTCAACCCATGGTAGGGCACTAAGATCCCCAAAGTTTTTTTTTAATTAGAATTAAAGAGATAGTTCAGTTTCTTAGGCTGAGTGTGGGTACACACAGGTGCATACTTTGGGGTAAGCCTGAAATTTGTTGTATAAAATTGGAGGTTCAGAGGTAAAGAATTCATGTGCCAATCCAGGAGATGCAGGAGACACAGGTTTGATCCCTGGGTCAGGAAGATCCCCTGGAGAGAGAATGGCAACCCACTCCAGTATTCTTGCCTGGAAAATCCCATGAACAGTGGAGCCTGGTGGGCCATAGTCCATGGGGTTGTAGAGTCAGATATGCTTGAGCGACTGAGCACACACACTCACCCAATAATTTTAAGGGTATATTTTTAGACCTTAGCTTTGAAGTCAGACAGACCTGGGTCCCCTTCTGAGCTCTGCCACTTCCTATGTGACCAAGAGCAAATTCCTCAATTCCCAGAGTCTCAATGATTCCATCTGTGAGATGGGTGGT